GCTGGCATTCGATGAAGCCGTGCCGGCGAGCTGGCATTCGACAAAGCCACGCCGACGAGCTGGCATTCGACAAAGCCGCGCCGACGAGCTGGCATTCAATGAAGCCGCGCTGTCGACGTGGCTGGACTGGCAGCAGCGCGTTAGTCATCAGCCGTTAATGCCCGTGATGCCGGCGCGAGTGGGTGACTATGGGTGTCGGCAGGCGGACTGGTGCCAGGGACTTATGGCTAGGAGGAGAGGCGTCCACTTCAGGAGAAATGCAGCTACGGACACCAGGACGAGGCTCGCCATTCTCATGCGTGTTTGTATCGAAAGACTCACGCTGGTGGAGGGCATCGCGAGACCGAGCTAGGCCAGCGAGGCTGACCTCCGGAGGACCCCTGAGGTGGGCGGGACTGACGTCACCTGCAGAACAGGCGGGGCTGGCTGAGCGTCGCTGGCCGGCCGACTGCTGCATAGTTTCACTAAGGTCGTCGGTCAGCCAATACCCACAGCGGGCATTCTGTACGTGGAATTTTGTCCAGACCTGCCATGTCAGAGCGGTGCCAGGCCGTTGGGACACAGTACAGCCGTGGGCCCCATGGCCGGTTCCGCGCAGCGAGGACGGGTGGGTCGTGTCGCCCGCGGCTTGACCCCTGCCACCCTCCCCTCCCCATCGACTGCATCTCTCCCCACACGGAGTTATAAACGCCCACCGCGTCGCTCCTAATTCAGACTCTCTAATTTACATCGCCCTGCGGAGCCGAGCGGCGATGGCGGACCTAGCGGCGGCGAATTTGCCGCGCCGATGGCCGGTGGCGAGCGATCCGGGGCCGGCCATCGCTCGCACCTGCCGCCCGTTACCTGTCGTGGCCCGTGGTATACGGCGGACGGCGGCGGACCATCGAACCAGCCCGGCCGCGCGGGCACGCCCCCGGTCGAGCTGGACGCGTCTGCAGCTTAGGACCGTCCCCGACCCGGAGCCTGGAGACCTGGGCCTGGAGACCTGGGCCTGGAGACCTGGAGCCTGGAGTGTGGGCTGGAACATCCGCAACCGTGAATAAGCCATCGGCCGCCGTGAGGTGGGGCCATCGTGAGCAGGCCCCTGTTGAGCAGCGGAGCGGACGAGCCGGACCTGCGCGCTGCTCTGTCCGCCCTGTGAAGCGACAGCGTCCGCCGCCCTCTGCCCCCCCGACCGATGTCACGCAGCCTGCGCCGCCGGGGTAACGGCCGACAGGTCTGAAAGCCGAAATCAAAGCTGGTCGCCTCGGCCGACTTTGATTCCGACTAATGGTGAGTGGCCGGCGCGTGCGCGTGCGTCGTAATTGTCTCCGGGGGCGAGACAGCCGGGGCCCGACGCGGGCATCACCCTCGCATGTCGGCGGTGCGTGCGGCGACCGAGGGGATTTCATTACGGCTTTGTTTGCGATGGGTTATCCGTCTGGGCGCCGGCGCTATCTGTCCTCCCATCGCGCCCCGGCAAGCGCCGACCAATTACCGCTCGGCCGGCAATTACCTAACGGCGCTCATTAAGCGCAGATTACAACTTCTGTGTTTTGAAAACAGGCGGGGCGTGGGCGCGGATGCGCTTCAGGGGCGTTGGACCGCGCCGCACATGATTCCGCTCTTGTGGCTGTCGGCCGTCGGTGAGCTGATCACGAGCGTCGCCGGCAGACGTTTTCGACGCGTGCGCTCGGCGCTGCGGCGAGGTGCGGCGGGTGCGCCGCTTCTCGCGGAAGCCGCGTCGCTTTGCGTGCGCGGCGCGGAGCGATGTGGGTCAAGTGGCGGCGGCGGCGCGCGCCGTGTTTGCCCCGGTCAGGTTGCTGATCCGCCGAGGGGAAATCGGCGCCCACCGCCCGGAGATGGACCATGATACGTCCGACAAACAGGCGCTCACCACCGGCGTCGGCGCCGAGGCTGACGGGCTCGACCGTCGGCCCGTGACAGCGGCCGTCGAGTAACGGGGCCGTGTGCGCCGCTTGAGAGGCTCGCCTCGCCGGCGGCCGGGTGGACTGACCCGGGTCGGCAGGCCACCGCAGCCCGCCCGGAGTCGGGCTATTACGCCCCCGTCGGGCGGGGCCGGGTCAGCTTTTGTTCCGCCTGGTGGCTGTCGGCCGGTGTATGGATCCGCCTGGCGGCTCGCGGTCTCCATCAACGCACCGGTGGTGAACTTCGACCCGGCGCTCGCGACTGGAAAACCAAACTGCCTGTCGCGTATTTGCATTGGGGAGTCGGGCGCGGCGAAAGCGTCGGCAGCGGAGTAATAACAGCCGTGTGGACATATGCGTCCCTCTGCGGCAGGCGAAGAGGGTATGAATGGCCGTAACCTGGACCGGCTGCGCCTAAGGTTCGGTGCTGTCTATTCGCAGCCGGAAAGTCAAGGATTTGTAGCAGGAGACACCTCGAAGATGGCAGGCTTCAGAAATCAGAGAGTAAAGGGTGGCCGGGCATTAAATGGCTGGGCGAGTTGGAACAGACGGAGACGCCCGTCCGTTCGTCCGTGATTTATTGCGGATGGGAGCGAAGTTTCGACTAATTTCCTGCCGAGGTTTCGCGAAGCTCTTGAAGTGTGGCCGCTTTTCCGCGCAAATGAGTTTCGTTGACCTCCTGGCCGTGCCTCGTCCGCGGTCCGTCGGAGAAAGTGTCGGAGGCGCCTGCCGAAGTCCGCTCGGCGCGCTCAGATCCGAGGCATTGACGGCGTTCGTGGCTGCCAGCGTGTCCACGGTTATTGTGAAACTTTTTCAATTGAAGAACAATGCCCAAGTTTTCAGCGAAGTTTTCGTCTCGGACGACAGCGCGAGGTAATTGTTGGTGACGTATACCGCTTATATGGGGATTTGTCCGTCCATTGTGAGGCCACCGCTAACGCAGCCTTCCCGTCATTGTTTGCCGGGCTTCAGGTCGTCTCCGGGCTGTCAGCCGCGTCCGAGCCTCGCATCGTGCCCTTTTTTCTGGCCGGTGCCGACTGTGCGGCGTTCTTGGCGCTCGCGGCGCGCGCGGCGCGGCCGCCGTGACGGTGTGACGGCTGTTTTTGTAACGAACAGCCGTCACGTCGCCGACGGTGGCGACCGGCAACCGAGCACGGCGGACCGGGCTCGGGCGCCGGTGATGGCCGCCGCTGGCACTCGGCGAACGGCTGGCCTCTCAGCTTGCCGCCGCATTCTCCGACGTCTGTGTGCTCCGGACAATCAAACGGTAATCAAGCGACCCTCCGACAAAGGAAATCGCTGGCTGGGTTTGATTTTGGAGAACTTTAGCAGGAACAAACAATTAGGCAGCCGTTGGCGGACGGGTGCACCGCAGGGTCGGCCGGTAAGGTCAGGCCAACCGCCGCTAATGCCCGCTTTCCCAGCGCGTTTCCCAAGCGGATTGGCATCGTTCGACTCTGGCCCGCCTGCCCACCGCACCGCCACTCTGCGGCCGTCTCAGCAAGGTCGACCGCGCCGAGAACGGGGTCCGTCTTCCCGCCGGTCGACCTGGCTTCCCCTCGATGGGACCCGGCGCCGGCCGTGCGGCCCAGCGACCCGGCGTGCGTCGCTGCAGCACGCGGCGGCGGCGGCAATGAGGTCGGGCCCGTTAGCGGTCCCTGTCTCCCCACGGCCAGGTCGGACGCACGTTCTCGCGCCGAGTTCGCGGCTCCTTTGCGGCTCGTTCGCGGCTCTTCCGTGGCTCGTCCGCGGCTTCTCACGACCACTTGGCTCGTCTGCAGCTCATCTGCGGCTTGCCTGCGATTCGTTCGGCTTGTCCGGACGCGGTGGCTCGTCGTGGCTTGCCGCGCGCCCTTCATGGCGCGGCCGCCTGTCTGCGCGGCGCCTGGGCCGATGCCGCCTGCATGCTGATGCGCCGCTGCCGCTGTCCGGCCACGCGGCGATTTGTAACGGCAGTGGGCCACAGTGACGGGCCCGCCGAGGGGGGGGGGAGGGGGTGTGACGACATTGGGCCGAGGCGCGCCGGCCAGCGGGACGTGCGGCAGGAGTCAGCTGCGGTTCCCGCGTCAGCGAGAGCGCAATGGACGATTTCGTTTGACATTCAGGGCCAGTGCGCCGTAATCAAATAATGATGTCGCACCGGAAGGCGTTGCGGCGAACGAGCTGACCCAGGGTCATACGCTAAGCACTGATCAGGCCACCGGTGGCATACCAATGGGGCGGCACCTGCGAAGGCGTGGGGCTCGGGCCGCTCCCCGGCGCAGGGACGACCGCCGGGGGCTGCGGCAGCCTCGCCGCGGCTATTTGCCGCCCGTTAATGATGATAAACTGGGGATGAGTTGTCGTTTTTCGATGTCATTCTCTCCTTATAAATGGCATCTATCGGAATTGTGGGCCGGCGGGTGGGGTGGTGACCTGTTGCCCCTCCGGTGACCCCGAGTGACCCAGTTCAGGGAGCACACAGGCATCGGCGTCCGCGCCCCAGTAGCAGTGCAGCCTTGTTTGTCTCGAGACTGGCTGCATCATCGGACTGCCCTCCGACGCTCTGCCGCTGCATTGCACTCACTCTCTCGCTGTCTCCCTTCTCTCTGTCTCCCTCCTGAATAGAACTAATTAAGTGATCCTTTGATGTCTACTTTGTTCGAAGCTAAGTGGCGCAGTTGGGTTATAGAAGTGCGCTTGGCGCGTTTCCGGCAGAGCTTCGGCGTCACGGGGAGTTTTCTTTCCTGGCACAGTTGCTCTTTTCTCAGAACTCACTTGCTGGCACAAAGCAACTCCTTACAATGTCGTGTGACACCCCTTGACCTAACCCCAAGCAAGACCCGTTTCCAGTCTGGGGTGCTCATGCCCCTGGTGTTATCTGAGATATGTAAGCATTGCATTTCCTGCCAACGATGTTAATGGCCAACATGATAAATTTATGGCTATTGCTGAAGGCTCGAGACGCCCTTAATCATCCAAACAGGCCAGTCGTAATTGTCTGGAGCACCTGGTGGCGGCAGTCGACGGCGGTGACAAATCTATTGTGAGCGAACGGTCGCTCGTAAGTCGATGCTGTCGCGCGCGTCTGACACAACCCCTGGCCCGTTGCAGAGATGGGCAAGTTCCGGTCTGCCTACGCCTGCGAGAACTCCAACCTGACCTTCAGCTGTGAGCAGGGCGAGGTCATCCGTCTGGTGCGTGCCAACTTCGGCCGCTACTCCATCACCATCTGCAACGAGCACGGCGCCACGGAGTGGAGCGTCAACTGCGCCAGCCACCGCTCCGTCAGCGTGCTGCACGAGAGGTCAGTGGCTGCCCCCGGCGGAGAGGGGCCGACGGGCGTCCAGCCAGCGGCGGAGGATCGTGAAAAGGCGGGTGCGAAACTTTTGGGTCGGTTGCTCCGCGCGTCGCAGAAGTGCTGGTAATGAACTTGCGGGAGAGATGGCGCATCGTGGCACACGCTTCTGTTTGTACACCGGTGCCGCGCTGCTTGGAGGTGGGGTCGCGGCCAGCGGCGTTCACGTGGGTAGAGCGACTCCTTCCCGAACGACGGCAGCTCCGTGAAAAGGCCTTCCTGTCTCGCGCCCAGCGACCACGCACCAAACGAGGCCCCCCGCTGCCTGAGCGTCGTATGGCCCGCGCTGCTATTGCCCTTGTGCGCCATTATCGCCCGCCAACCGGTTGGCCGCTGCGCCACAAAAGACGCACGCAGCGTGGCGCGCCGGCCCGGTGTCCGGCCGTCGGGGGCCGTGTCACCTGCTCCCTCCTTTCTGCGACTGCCCTCGCAGATGCCCCGCCCGCGCCGGGCACAATGACAATTATGAACCGGCGGGCGGAAGCGATTACGAGCGGCGGTCGGCTTGTTGACGTCGGTCTGGCTCTGTCATCTGGGCCAAGCCAGGCTGGGCTTACCTCGCGTCACGGCTGCCTGCGCCAGGAGCGGCGCCAGCCCGCCGCTGCCGGCCAGCGCCCGTGTCGCGCCATCCGACGGCGAAAAACGCGCGCCGACGATCGTCATGCAGGAGGATAACGGGCGCCATTAAGAAATGGCGCGCCGGCACGGTCAGGAGCGCGGTATCGGTCCCCGAGGATCGCTCCGCGGCCGCCGCGGTGATAAATGGCGCGGCGGCTGATGCATCTGGTGCGCTCCCCGCCCGGCCACTCGGCCGCCGGGCTGGGGACGCTCGCGTGACGCGGGCATCGATGGCGGGCGCGGGGCAGGGTGGGGGAACGGCACGGCGCCTTCCCTCCGCGGCAGCCGGCCGGTGGCTTCATGACTGCGGACGCCCGGAGGGCTAGATCGGCCAGATGCTGCGAGCCAGTTGTCGCCAACGCTGTCGCGGTGGGAAGCTCCGAGGCGCCGGCAGACGGTGCGAAGGGGCGGATCGGCTGCAGACGGACCTCCCTCGCGCAGATCGAATCACCGCCGCCGCCAGCCGCATTCGAGCCCCCTGCACTAAAACATCCATCTTTTTTAGGAATGCGCCTCCCAGCCGCCCGATCGCGATGCGCGTCGAACCATCGTGAGGATTTGTATCGGCTGTTTCAAGGCTGACCCTTGAGTTACGCGCTGTGCACCCCGGTGGCGGCGGCGGCGGCGGCGGCGGCGGCGTGACCGCAGCTCGACCTCAGTATCGGGTGCATCTTTCCGCGTCGGCAGATCGGCTACATATGTGGGGCGAATCGTCGCCGCTCCACATTGGTGCGCGTGAGTGAGCGGCCTCAGCGGGTCGGCCGATAGCGTCGGGATCCATCACCGCACCCGCTGCGGGCCCCGGCCGACCCCGCCGAGCGGTGCGCTGCGCGCGCGGCCGCGGTCCGTCCGCCTTGAATGCGACGCGGGAGACCCATAACGCTCAGGATTACCAGCTGTATTACTACGTGCCTTGGTTACAGTCACACGTCCCTTTGATCTACTTTGATGCTTTCGATGCACTCCCAGAGGTCCCTGGCACTCTCTGATGCCCCGATACTCAACCCAGCTGCCTCCGACGCACAACCCAGCTACATTCGATGCACTCCCAGCTGCCTACCGATGCACTTCCAGTTGGCCCCAATGCATTCCCAGCTGCCCCCGATGCATTCCCAGCTGCCCCCGATGCATTCCCAGGCGCCCCAATGCACTCCCAGATGCCCCAATGCACTCCCAGGTGTCCCCAATGCACTCCCAGGCGCCTCAATGCACTCCCAGGCGCCCCAGTGCACTCCGAGGTGTCCCCAATGCACTCCCATGTGTTGCCGATGTACTCCCAGATGTCGTCGATGCACTCCGAAGTGTACCCAATGCACTCCCAGGTGTCCCCAGTGCACTCCCAGGTGCCCCAATGCACTCCCAGGTGCCCCAATGCACTCCCAGGTGCCACAACGCACTCCCATGTGCCTCGGATGCATGCCGGCGGGTGGGCGCGGCCTCAGAGCACCCCGTCCGCCCGCCGCCCCACCTGCCGGCTCTGCTCGCCGCCAACCAGCCCGCCAATTACGAACAAAGGATGCAGCGTCCCGCCGGACAATGCACGGAGCGCCTCCCACTAATAGCGCACCACCACGGCCGCGCCATTACTGCCGCGCCACGCCGGCGCTCGACCTCGCGCGCCGCCTTTGTGCCGGCAGTGTAATTGGCGCTTGTCAATGAGCATTGAGTATCGATCGGGTGCCACATTGCGGTATTGAACACTGCTGAATGGTAGACCGAGCGGACGCCAGGAGTCGGCCGCCAGACGGCCGCGCGGACGCAGCGGCACCGGTAATAAAACTCGTGCCGGCCACAAAAGGTTAACCCGCGTCGATCCGTCATGGAAAGCTGCGGTAATGAAGGCAAATTACAGCGTTCCGACCGCTGGCCGAATGGATCGTGTCTCCCTTGGTCAACACGGCGCTTGGCCTGCACGGCACATTTGTTTGAACGCTGGTCCATTGGCGGCTAATATTCAGCCGTAATGGACCGTCGACATATTGCATGTCATCGGGCAGCCATGCGGCCCGCTAGATGTATTGAAAAGAGCCAGTGTCGCACGTTAGCCCCGCATGGTTGAATGACAGATCCATGCGGTCGACTGTCAATATCTCTCAGCCCTCCGCCTCGCCGGCGCTGGAGGGAGGGGGAGGGAGGCGCCGGGATCGTCTCGGCGTCCGGCGCAGCGCCAAGATCGCGCCTAGCCGTGTTGCCCGGCGGGGCGACCCAGCCCGTCTATGTAATTACTTGCGCTATGGAACAGATTTGAGCATCGCAGCGCTGTGGGTCTCCGGCGGCTCGCCCGACCGTAAACGACAGCGGCCGGCCCCGGCCGTGGCCGTGCGAGGCCGTGCGAGGGACGCGAACGCGCGCGGAGCGCAGCGCGGCGGGGTTACGTGCGCTGTCACATCGTCCGGGCCCGCTGCGAGTATGTGCTTCCTTTTCAAGTCCTTGAGTCAACAGTGTTCCTAGCCGCTCTTGTAACACTGGTATTCAGTAGAGCAGTGCAAGGGGATCGGTAGCTAAGTGACACCACGTCAAAACGCGGTCAGTCAGGATGACACAGCGGGCCATACTGAGACCGCCAGGCCAGGCTGAGAACGCGCCACGTATTCGTGACCGATACCGGCGTCAATACAACGCCAGGTGCGCGCGCGGTGGCGGCGGCGGGACCGCGGCCCGCCCCTCCGTTTACGCGGGGTCTCGCGCGGCTGGCGGTGGACCTCTCGCGCGGCTGGCGGTGGACCTCTCGCGCGGCTGGCGGTGGACCTCTCGGCGGCTGGCGGTGGACCTCTCGCGCGGCTGGCGGTGGACCTCTCGGCGGCTGGCGGTGGACCTCTCGGCGGCTGGCGGTGGACCTCTCGGCGGCGGCCCGGCCGGTTTTTGTCCTGCCATTCTGCGGAGAGTGGCGGCCTTCAGCCGATGGTCAGCTGAGGCGGTTTTTGTGCGGTGTAGCTGGGTCTTTTGGTGGAAGTTTGAGCGAGACGACTGCCGTTTAGGGTTTTATTGTATCCCGACCGCGGGCTTTTTCTCCCGGCCGCCGTCATTAGGTGGCGAGCGAAATCGTCAATGATTTATCTTCGTATGTCACGACCGGGCAAAAACCGTGCGCGTTTGTGCCCGCTCATTGTTCCCAGATCGCCGGTCAAATCGTCCTCACCGTTTTTGCCAACAACGACCCGCCGGAAATCGCATGTCGCCGCGATCGAGACGACCACCAGGGGCGCACGAGGCGCGCGCGCGCCCAGGTGAAAGGCAGGTCGCACTTCGCCTCTCCGCACCTACCGCCTGGACACCCCCGTGCGGGGGGTCGTGCCCCCGGGCATCATCTGGTCACGTGTCGATGTTGCCGGCGGCAGGTCGCGTCGAGCCGCGGCGCGGCCGGTCAATAGGGCGCAATCAGCCGCGTCTGCGGGGGAGCGCGCTAATCCTGTCACGGTCGGGGTGGCCGCGGGCGCCGGGCGCCGACGGTTGCGGCGGGGCTCTGTTCGTGCCACCCCGGGGGAGGCCAGGCCAGCAGTCGTCGGCTGGTCTCCCCCGAGGCCAGCCGACAATCTTTGAGGGCACTCTCCTGACTACCACCCTCCCCTAAGGCCCCTTTCTTTGGGAGCATTGCTGAGGATCTCCCTCCTGCGGACACTTTTATCTCCTGAGAACTCTCTCTCTCTCTCTCTCTCTCTCTTAAGAGCTCTCTCTCCTCTGAGCAATCTCATGAGGACCCCCTGAGGACCCTCTTTGACTGACGTCCCCCCGAGGACCCTCCACAGGGGACACTCCCCCAGGACGCCGCGTCGTTTCCGGCCGTCTCGTCTTGGCAAGTCGGGCTGGGACCGGGTTTCCGGGAGCCGACCGAAGCGCTCTGTTAGAGTAGCGCCGCCCGGTGATTTTTCCCGGCGGCCATTCTCTGGCCGACAGCCGAGAAATGGCACCAGTCTGTCAGCGTGCTGGCCAGCGTCCCAGTCCGTCCCGGAGACCACGGCCACGCGGATGTTTGTATCCTCGCGGCGGCCGCGCGCTCTCCTCCATCCGTCATTTCCATCGGCGATTTCTCTCACGTGCACCAGCCGCGCCGACCATCGCTATTCAATTACTCGATTCGGCTCTTTTGCGGAATAAAAATGCCGGTTCGCGAAGATGCAGCGCGGGTGTATGCAAATTGTGCCCGCCGACCGGCTGGAAAAGCATTCTGTTTGCTGATGCTGCGCTGCGGTAATTTGGCACGACCGAATTTATCTGCCGGCGAATGCAAATGAAATATTTGCATGCGGGCGGCCGGCGGCCGGAGACGGGCTGGGCAGGGCTGCGGTGCTTTGAATGTAAATGCAATGTTTCCAGCGTGGTGCAACTTGATGTTTGAATTAAGCGCGGCGAACTATAGGCACTGGGGGTCAGTCAGAACCGTCCCCGCCGCTTATCTATGCGGATTCCTATTCAGAACCACGGCTGAAGGCAGTATCGAATTATTGGTGGGCTTTGCGGGGGTTCTGTTACGGCCGTTCGTTAGACACACTCCGACCGATAGATACCCGGCCATTCGGCCCTGCGCTGTCCGCACTTAACAGAGTCGCTGTGCGCAGCTCTTGCTCTGGGCAGTAGATACGGGTTAGGATAACGAAATTACGGGGTTCTTCCTTGTCTGGGCGACGGCTGGTTAACGGCGTGGTGTGGAATGATAATTTAGTTCGTAGCGTTTTACGTCCGAGTTAATTTTGTCACGGTGTACATCAGCCAGCGGACAAGCCGAGGAGCTGAATGGCATAGATTTCCATCCACCAATGCATGCTGCTATGATTGCATTATTCCGTGATCAACGCCTTTCGATAAGGAACATGAATGCAGGGGTCGGCAACGCGACAAAATCTTCAAATCGGCGACGAGCACTAACTCCGCACAAATAACCAAATGGATTGTGACGAGCTACGCTCTGCTCCGTCCCTGCACCTTCCATACCTCCGAACGACAACGGAGCGTCCTTCCGACACGAGACCACTTAGGAGCATCCCTCTGACGGAACCACTCGGTAGCGTCTCTCTGGCGGGACCACGCGGAAGCGTCTCCTTGGCGGGACCACGTGGGAGCGTCCCTCTGACGGAACCACTCGGTAGCGTCTCTCTGGCGGGACGACGCGAAAGCGTCTCCTTGGTGGGACCACGCGGGAGCGTCCCTCTGACGGGACCACTCGGTAGCGTCTCCGCGTCTCCCATTCTTCCGAGCGGCAGCGGAGCATCTCCGACGGAGTCGCGCCCCCGTGTCGCCGTTAATATTCATAGGTTATCGAACCTGTAACGGTGGTGTCGGCCTTTATCTCCTTCTGTGAGGAATTTATCAGAATATTAGACACAGTGCCGGTGTGAAATTGAGATATTGGTGCCTCTGGCGGCGGCGGCGGCGGAGGACGCCGGGCGACTGTGTGGTCGGCCTACGTGCGGTGCCGCTGCTCGGGACGGACGAGTGCGAGGGCGTGGGAGCGGGTCACCCCGAGCGATGGCGCCCGTCACCGCCGTCCGGCGCCGGCAATGGTCCGCCGGTCGGCTCTGGCGACCGCTACGCAGGTGGAAGCGTAACGCGACAGAGGAAATCGAGGATGCGTCGGAAAAGTGTACCAGCCTGTGATGTATGGGCTGCCGGGGGCGGGCGGCTCCCGCCCGGCAGTAGGTGGCATGAAATTGGCTCGGCGCGCGGACCTGGCCAGCCCGAGAGGTCTGTGGGGCACCGACCGCCGATCAGGGTCGCCATCTCCAGCCGGTCTCCGCCCGTGTCTGCGCCGATCAACACCGCGGCAAGATCGGACCGCCGATCTCGGGAGCGGCGCGCTCCACCGGCTGCCGCCGAGCCGGCTGACAACGCGCCGTCACGTGCCGGCGAGGAGCCGTACTCATCCGCGCTGACGACCCCCGGCTCCGCTAATCCGTTCTCGGGCCGATAATGAGATGTCACTCGACCGCCGCCGCCGCCGCCGCCGCCACCGCCGCCGCAGTTCGACCGGCGGCCCACGCCGCGCGTGCAGCTGCATAATGCCGCTCCTCGGGAGGCGCGCCGCCGCCGCCCATCGGGTCGCGCCGGCGCGCCGGAGTGAGAGCCGAATCATTGCCGACGGTCGGCGATGATGAAGCCACCCTACCGCGAGGCCATTCGCCGTCCGCGGCCGGCGATGTATTGGAAAGCGCGCGGGGGGCGGCGCGATCGGACCCGGGCATCTGGCCGCAACCCGTTCCCGCCGGGCGGAGCCTGCAAAGGCGCAACTTCCATTATACCACCTCCGTTTACAGGCAATTATTCAGAAATCCTCACCCCAACACCTCCGCTGACGTTGATAAATTCTTCTGTATTGTTCGGCCGGCTGCCGGGCCGCGGGCGGCGCCCCATAGTTAGCGGCGCGACCGCGACGCGGCGCCACCGGTCGCGGCGACGGGGCAGGTGAGAGAGCCAGGCTGGCGGCAGGCAGCGCTCGGAGGGCACGCTCGCCGGCAAACAGTGGCCGCACGGCCGCGGGGACGCCGGGCGCGTCTCAAAGAAAACACAAATAGAATGGAGGGAGTGGCGCGGTGAGGGCTGCGATGAAAGAGAGAGAAAGAGAGATGATAATAGGAGGGGCGCGGATGGGGCGTGCGGGCGCCAAACAGGAGGCGGCCGGCGGCCCCCGAAAACAGCTGAGGCCGTTCATCGGGCGGCGGCCGGCGTGGTCCGATTGTGACGTGTTTGAAGGCGGCTGGCTGCGGTCAACAGCGCGAGTCGGCACTGTTTGGCCACTGGGCAAGCCTCGGCCGCCGTCCCCAGTGGGCAAACAGCGGCTTCTCTTGAGCGGTCGCCACCGCCGTGCTCTGTTTCCACGCTGTTGTGGACGGGATTCGAAATGAGTTTGCCCGCCGGTGTGCAAACACGATTTACTGGCTTCGGCCGGCGCTGGATTGGTTTCGCCGGTGGAAATGGCCCGTATGATTGACTCCGCCGGGCGAAGGTTCGCTGTGTGTAACTTATCACATCACATGTGCCGAGCCGGAGACACCACTGCCCAACGCTGCACATAGCCAGATGCATCAGAGGGCTTAGAATACTGCCTTTAACCCAGACAGTCTGAGACGTAAGCATTCACCAAATGGCAATGAAACGAAATGATCGTCTCAAACATGAAGCTTTGACGTCTATTCTCTGACGATAGGACGGCGACCCAGCGTGCCTGCAGACGCATCACAAGCAGATCACAGTCGGCGTTCTGCCGCGGACCACGGCCGGAATGCAGCCGCGTCCCGACACGCTTGGTCGCTGCTCCCGGCAGGCCATTCACCCCGCGCGTAGCAAGACCCTCCTGAACGATGCCGGCGCCCATGATCAGTAAAAATAAAGCCTACCGTGGCGGCGTGCGTTGATGAGCGATCGCAATCTGGAGCGTGGCAGGCGGCCGATCCGTCTCACCGGTCGCGCCGGCCGTCTCCCGTTCGTCCGAATCCCGCTGTCGGCCGCCCGATGACTAATAGCGTGCCCCGCCCGCTTGCAGATGCGGTCAGAAGCAGACCTGCAGCGTGCCCACCTCCATCTCGGTGTTCGGCGACCCGTGCCCGAACACGCACAAGTATTTGGAGGCCCACTACCAGTGTGTGCCAGGTGAGTGCGCGGGATCGGCGGCGTCTTCGGAGGCCGGCTGTCTGGACGGATGCGGAGGTGGTGAGGGCGGGTGCATGGCACCTTTCCAGGTCTCCACAGCCATGAAGCACTGACCTTTACCTCAATGTGGCCTTCGCCAACTCTTTAAAGTTCGCACGACCGAAGTTGGCCGTTCAGCCGGCTCGTTTGCAGACGGCCGTATCTGAACGGGTGTAATGGCAGCGATACTTTACCCGGTGGCAGGGCCGGCCTTCCCTGAATAAGCGCTGATCTAGAGCCGCCATCAGCGCCGAAGGTGAGCCAATTTCTGCGCCTTTGACACTTTGATCCGGTGTGGCCATCTGGTCCGGTCGGCTCCGCCCGGTCGGCAGCGTCGCGCTGCGGCGCTGCTGTCGCCAACGGCGATATCACTGAGCCGGGGGCGGCTGTGGATGAGCAGCGCCTGTCGTTTATTGTGCCGTCTGCGCCGGTTTATTGGCGGCGGGCGTGCCGGCTGGCGGCAGATGGCGGCATGACGCTGACCGGCACGCGCGCCTCTCCCTTAGACACCATCCAGCGGACCACCAATAAAGCGCCGCCGGCCTGGCTGACGACCACCACGCCGCCGCCGCCGCCGCCCATCCTCACCGAGACGCCGTTCAAGCCGCCGCCGCCGGCTTTCACTACGACGACCACGACGACCACGACCACGACCACGACGACCAGGGCGACCACCACCACGGCGAGCACCACCACCACCTCCACGAGCACGACCACGACGCCGGCATGGACGGCGGCCCCCCCGGTCGTGCCCGGCCGTGACCTGGTGGAGACACATGACATCGTCAACGTCGACGGCCGCGAGGAGGAGATCACCCATGAGCGTACCGAGCTGCACCTACCGGCCGCCGGCCGCGGTCGGCCCGGCGCCGACGAGTGGGCGCCTTATGGCGGGGCCGGCGGTGGCGCGCCGGGCCGCACGAGCGGCGACGCCCGGCCCGACGCGAGGGACGGCGCGCGCCCGCCGGCCGCTGAGCCCCGCCCGGAGGCCGACGCGTGCCCGCCGGAGCGGCGGCGCGACCTCGTCTGGAACTGGACGCGCGTCGGCGAGGCCGAGGTGCTGCAGTGCCCGGGAGGCGTGCAGGGCACCGCGCGCTGGGGCTGCGTGCTGGGCCCGGCGGGGCCGCGGCGCGAGCCGCAGATGCCCGACCTCAGCGACTGTCGGTCGCTTTGGCTGACCAGCCTGGAGACCCAGCTCAAGGAGCACTCGAACGCGCTCACCATCTCGAGCAGTCTGGCCGAGGTGACCGACTCGTCGCCGCTGTTCGGCGGCGATCTGGAGGCGGCCGTGCGCCTCATCAACCGGCTGCCGCTGCAGCTGGGCGGCGGCGAGCGCTACCCGCTGGACCGCAATCGGCGCGAGGCCAGCGTGGCGGCACTGACCAAGACCGTCGTGCGGACGGCCAGCAACCTGCTGTCGGAACGGAAGCGGCCGATGTGGGACGACCTGGGCAGCGCGCGCACGCAGCCCGTCATGACCTCGTTCATGCTCGGCTTGGAGGAGAACGCCTTCTTGCTGGCGGACAGCCTGGCCGAAGAGAAGTCGGTGGTGCAGTACAGCGACAACGTGCTGCTGTCGGTGCGCCTGCTCAGCGCCTGGAGTACCGGCGCCATCGAGTTCCCATCGGCCGAGGAACGCGCCAAGCTAACCCAGGTCAAGGACTTTGTGCGCATCCCCGGCGAGTCGCTGCAGGCGAACGCGGACGGCGGTCGCGCCGCGGTCGTCTTCATGTCCTACGAGGGCATGGACAAGATCCTGAAGCCGCCGCCGCCTGAGCCCAACTCCCCCAGCCGGCCGGTGGTCAACTCGCGCGTCATTTCGGCCTCGCTCGGCAAGGGCCGCCACGTGCAGCTGCCGTATCCGGCGCTGCTCGTGCTGCGACACCTGCACACGGAGAACGTCAGCAACCCGCGCTGCGTCTTCTGGGACTACACGCTCAACTACTGGTCCGAGCTGGGCTGCCGGAGGCTGGCCACCAACATGTCACACACAACATGCGAGTGCGACCACCTGACCAATTTCGCCGTGCTCATGGACATGCACGCCACGCCGCTGCCCGAGACCGACCGCGTGGCCCTCGAGATCATCACCTACGTCGGCTGCGGCATCTCCATCGTCTGCCTCCTGCTGGCCATCATCACGTTCCAATTCTTCCGCGGCCTAAAAGTACGTGGTCGCGCGATGCGGAGCTGCAGCCTGTCACGTGGTGGGCCGTTCATAGATCAAAGAGCCATAGCTTGCTGATCAAAGCTCGTCTAGATACATTGGAGCTGAAAGGCTGGAATAACTCGAGTAATTGTGCATTGCGCGTTATTGCGCAACGTCAGGCGTCATGATTGTGAACGTTTGGCTTTTCGCCGGAGCGTTAATTTAGTATTTCAACAGAGTTAAGCACGTTTACACCGAACGTGTAGCCTGAATGCCGACCTCCTCCCTCCTGGGCACTCACACCCACATGTCTGTTCGCAGTCGGATCGCAACTCGATCCACAAGAACCTGTGTATCTGCCTGCTGATCGGGGAGGTTGTGTTCCTAGCCGGCATCGGCCAGACGCACCTGCGCATCGTTTGCGGCGTGGTGGCCGGCCTGCTCCACTACTTCTTTCTCTGCGCCTTCGCCTGGATGTTCTTCGAAGGTGAGTAAACGCCCGGTATTCAGCGTGCTGGTTGCCGTTCGGTTTTTGACGTTCAGACACTCATGCAGTGAGCATTTCGTCCTCGATCCGCACTGCTCTGTCGTCGTCTTGTGACTTTGAAAAGCTGAAGTTACCTCCTTTGATTTGACACACCATTTCCACAGCATTTATTTCGCGCGGAGCGCATCCCGTTTTACTCAGTTTCCTCCGGGCCGGTGATAAACCTCCCGTCCTTCCGTATCGTGCCCAGGGTTCCTGTAAATCTCCTGGCAGTCCAGCTCTAAATGACGGCCATAAAGTCGCACTTCGGGCGGCCGATGCGGCGCGCTAACGGCCCCTAAATCGCCGCCGGCCGCGTCTGACGCCGACCTCGTCCCGCACAGGCTTCCAGCTGTACGTCATGCTGATCGAGGTGTTCGAGGCGGAGAAGTCCCGCATCCGCTGGTACTACGTGGCGGCGTACGGCCTGCCGGCGCTGGTGGTGGCCGTCTCTTGCATCATTGACCCGACCAACTACGGCACGCCGGAGTACTGCTGGCTCCGCTCCGACAACTACTTCGTCTTGGCCTTCGTCGGCCCTGTGGTGCTGGTGATCCTGGTGAGTGGTGCTCCCGTGGTACTGCGGTCGCCGCGAGTGCGACGCGGATCCCCTGGGACTGGAGGCCCCGACGAGTGCGGCGTTCATTTCAGGGTATTGGTGGCCGGGTTTATTGATGGCGCTTGGAGAAAGGTGTCAGTGACATTGCCTAGCAAGCGCCGTGCAGATGGTGTTGATCGTGCTGAGCATGGTGCCGGTGGTGCGGGCGACGGTGCCGGGCGGCTCCGCTAATGGTGGTCGTCCGTCACAGTCGTCCGTTATTTACCACCGCGGCCGCCGGCTTGTTTAGCTTATCGTCGCTCGTTGGCCCGTCTCGCACGCGCTCCCGCCAGAACGCCGCCACCGGAGGCGGCCTGGGACCGCGGGGACGCCACCGGCTGCCGGCTGAAATTGGATGTCAGGTGGCCGCACGTTCTCGTGCGGAGTCAATAAAAAACACACGCACACTCGCCGCGGCAGCGCTCGCGTGTCGGACGATGCCTAATGTCTGCGCCTGCGGGCGTAGGTTCTGCTGCTGCGCTATTCTGCAGGCTGTTCTGGCCTCCTGGCCGTCCTGTGTTAAGGTGCTTCGGTTGACGCCCATGCGTGTCCACCCGCAGGCCAACCTCGTGTTCCTGGCCATGGCTGTGTCGAAGATGTGCCGCCACTCGGTGGCCACGGTCACCATGAAGTCCAAGGAGCAGTCGCGCCTGTCTTCGGCCAGGTTTGTAGCGCCCCGTGCACTCGTGCTCCCTCTCTTGCTGTGACTATGGTGGTGGTGGTGGGCGTCTAGGCCCCGCGTAGTTTTGAGACTGTTTAACCACCGCGTTGGTGCTGCAGCCGGGCCGCGTCGGGAGTTGTTGGCTCCGCCGTCACATTCCGGCGGATGGCTCCACCCGGCGGGCTCGCACCGCACGGCGGGTGATATACGAGCCGAGTTTTTGGTGGCGCTGTCCCGTGCTGCATTATTTAAGGACTGCGACGAAGAACGATGGCGCAGTTGACGGAAATGAGATCGCTTCCGGCCTTCTCGACGTCGCCGCGAGAGCGATAGCTGGGATGAACTGGGTGACAACTAACAGAGCACCACTGTTTCCTTTTAGTGACGAGGAGGAGAGCGTTTTCGCTATGAAAATGAAGGCCCATATGTAAGCGGAAGAATTCATGCTTGCCGTTATGCTTGTTCCACTTGTGCCTGATGGGATTGTAATTCATCTGCATGCTGCTTCTTGTCGAGCACGTCCCGCCGGCTTTTTGCCGCGCGCCGCACTTGTGCCCGTCTTGTCTGCACCCCCGCGCCCTACGCTTGTGCTCGTTTGGTCGGCATCCCGCGTGCCGGGCATCCGCCGGCGCCGGCTCGTTGTCGTAATTTTCGTCCGCCGGGCTGGGGATGCACCGACAGCCGAGCTCCGCCGCCGCGCGGCCTGCACGTCAAATTATGCCTGCCGCTGTCAGATCTGGCTCGGCTGCCTGTGTGCGTGTCTGTGCGTGCGTGTCGGGGTGTGTGTGTGCGGGCGTGGCGGGAGTGAAGAAGCAGCTAGCCTCCGCCCCTCTGCCCACCTCTGCGCTGGGCAGTCGGTGGGAGTCAGCGGCACACGTGGGCAGTGCTACGGCGCAGCCGCCTATGCCTGGCTTGTTTGTGCCTGGTAATGCACGCTGCCTGCCATTCATCAGCGTGCTCGTTGACGTTCATTTGAGGGATCGGAATGTTTGCGACCGAGAGTAAATAAACAGGCTTGATTGCAGACCTGAGTCGCCTAAGTGGTACAGCACGCTCCGTTCGCTGAATTCCTGCCGTTCAAAACAGTGGCCGGCGTCAGCTGGGACAGAAAACAGAGAGTGGTCCTTTTGGGCCCTGATTACTGCCCTGCTGCCCGGATAGCGCACTAACTGTGGGCCACCTGTGCACGTGCAGTGCGTGGATCCGAGGTGCGGTGGCGCTCGTGTTTCTGCTGGGGCTCACCTGGTCCCTGGGACTGCTCTACATCAACCAGCGCACCGTCCAGGCTGCCTACGCCTTCACCGTGCTCAACAGTCTGCAGGGACTCTTCATCTTCTTCTTCCATTGCGTTCAGAACGAGAAGGTGCGTGCATCAATTTACTGCGATGTGTTAGCCCATCCTTTACTGTGCATGTAGCGATTTTTAGACAGCCGCCATGGGCCTCCGCGGCTATTCTGCCGCTCGTGACCATGCCCAGAGGCTGACGGCTCTGTCTCTGTTGCAGACCCGCAGCGAGTACCGCCGCTTCTTCAGCCAGTGTAGCTGGCTGCCAGCCTGCCTGCGCCCGTCGACCAAGGCCAAGGACACGTCCAGCTACTACTCCAGCAACACGCACTCGAACACGCAGACCACGCAGGCCGCCGGCTCGCCGACCACCGTGGGTACCCCCTTCACCTATCCGTGCGTCACGCTCCTGCCCGTTCCCCACCACTACTCTTCTCTGAAGCGACACCAGCCGCGCACTGGGACGCGTCACAGCCACCACCAGCAGGGCGGCTCGGCTCGCCGGCCGCGCGGCGCCGCCGCCCCGGACGGGCGGCGCGCGCCCCCCTCGGCTCCCGCCGAAGGGCCGCACTACGCCGAGCCGTACGCGCCGCTGGAGCCGCGCGCCGGCCGCGGAGGCGTGCGCTATAGTCCCCCGGTCGGAGGGCGCGCCGGCGATCCGTACGGTCTCTGCCGCAGCTCCAGTCTCCTGCTCAAAGGTAGACAGCCGCGGGCGCGGGGCCGTGCTGCATGCTGCCCGCGCGCCGCGCGCGCGCGCGGCTCGGCCTAAACTGCCTGCCGCGCATGGATGTCACCTGCCCCGGTGCCGCCCCGCCTGGTTCGCCCGCCCGCGCCGCCGCCGCCCGTCGAGGGACGCATGAGAGGCAGAGCAGCGCGCCGCGCCGCCTGTGCGCTCGGAGAGCTGGGACAGCCGGGCGCGCGCGTAGTGGTGCCGTTGTAGTTCTGGCGACCTGGGCTCAGGTAGATCAGAGTAACTGTCAGTGTGTAATATTCAGTTTTGTTTGCAGTTGTTTTGACTGTGCGCAGTAGCCTCTAGCTTTTTGTTTCGGTATGGTATTTCAGCCTCTAGCTTCGAATGCCATCAAAGTTTGCTAGCAGCTTTCAGCTTTCAGTGTAAAATACCTACGTTGTGTAAAGTTTACGTTATATTTCACATCAGTGTTTCTCCTTTTCAGTAAGAGCAAGAACAGTTTATTAACAACAACCCTGTTGATAGTATAATTGGGTGCACTTTATTGGTAACGTACATCTGTCCTTACTTCTTTGCATTCACGGCCCGAGCTGATCGTATTTTGACTGTGGTGCATATCCACAGTACCTGGCGAATATGTGGACACAGCCGGAAGAGGACCCCAACAAACTGCGGGCGCCGACTACCGAATCTCGAATCGGTCAGAGCTCCCTGAGGACCCCTTCTCACCGCAATCTTACACGTGACAGAAAGGTGAGCGGATCTGATCCCCAAAATCTCACACAAAATCTAACGGCGAAGCGCGTTCATGTGTTTATTTGAAATGTACGGTCTTCTGCCGCACTTGGTTTTCTCGCTAGTTTAAGGTGCTAAACAACAGAGCGCGTGGATCAGTTTCTGATGTTGCGGGCACTGCATGGATCGCTGGCGGAATGTGTTGCCGTAGCCTGCCTCCGAGCCCTCATTGCAGCCGCCGCCTATGATTGCAGCGTTGTTGCTTTTGAGCATTAGTCGTGATCATCGATCAGTGTTATTTGTGCTTTGGGTTGGCATGATTTGGCTTTTTCGGGCGTTTGATGCGAGCTAGTGGATCTCAGAGCACTTTGTTTCACGTTCACTTAAAACAAAATGCCATGTTGCTTCGTATGTTTGTTTCTGTACACTGACACAAAAGAACTCATTCACGACTTCCTTCCCTGCCAAGAAGGAGGGCGATCCAGGCCGGCTGCGCCTCGCGCCCACCAGTGTTACTGTTCTCAACCCTTGCCAATATGTCTGCGCCCTCGACTGGTCCCGTGGCCGGCCGCCTGTGCTGACGCGCTGCATCTGCCACCGGCAGTCGTCCAGCCTGCGCTCACAGGGCCGCGACAGTGGTAACGGCGGCTCGGCGCCCGACTCGCCGCCGCGTCTCAACAACTACCCGCTGCACGAACTGAACGGCTCGCTGGTGCCCAACCCGGACTTCTTCGCGGCGTACAGCCAGCAGCGCTGGCGGCCGCCGGGCGCGCCGCACCAGTACGTCGAGGTGGGCGAGCCCGTCTACGAGGAGATCGACCGCGAGCCGACCTCGCACGGCGACCTCAGCGACGAGGAGCTGCGCCGCCAGAGCGACATCTCGCGGCAGAGCTCTCGCAGCTACGGCGACTCGCGGCCACTCATCCCCTACTACCCGGAGCGGCCTCTGCTCGAGCAGCCGGAGCGCTGCCCGGCGGCCGAGGCGGCGGCGCTGGCGACGGCGGCGCCGGCCGCCTACGGCGCCGAGCCGACGGCCGGCCGGCGGCGGCCCGTGTCCGCGCTGTGCGAGTCCAACCTCAGACACTTCAACCAGAGACAGGTGATGAGCGACCTGCAGCAGCTGCAGCAGTTGCAGCAGCTGTCGGCGGCCGAGCGGCAGCTGGCCGGGCTGGGTGGCGCCGGGCGGCTGGCGGCCGCGCCGCCGCCCGGGTCGGCGCGGCCCCCGCCCTGCCACGGGCCGAGGACAGATGTGGCCGTTCGGCCGCCGGCGCACAACGTGTAGCGCCGCCCAGTGTGACCGGCGCGTGCGGACAGGGCAGGGCAAGCGTGATGAGCGCGCGCGCAGCGGTGTCCTCGCCGCGTGCAGCGACGCCCGCTTCTAGGCCTCGTGTGATACCTGCCTGGCGCTGGCGGCAACGCCAACTGCATTCGCTTCGTCTCTAACCCGCCTAGTTGCCCCCCCCCCCCCCCCCCCCGGTCCGGAGAAATGTGCCCGACGTTATCACCCCAACCCTGCCAATGCTGGCTTGAGGCGCCGCGAAGGCGGGCGGCGACCGCGGCTTTTTTGGTGTTCATGTTCACTCCGCACATTTAGTCTAGCTCCCAGTTGTTGCTAGTGCGTGTACATTAATCGTCATCTGTGATATTATTATATTAAGCTGTCATAATTGAAACGAGAATATTAATAAGAATGACTGTTTGAAGTATTTTCTTGGGTGGATGAGATGGAACCGGACAGCGCCGACTTAGGCATGCAAGAAGCCTAATGGTCGCAGGAAATGGTTGCATTGTCCTTAAATTGACCATTAGCCATCCGCGCAGCATTATGTTCCAAAACGCTTGATGGTGCCACCGCATACTTCCTACAGAATCAGCTGGCACGACGGTCGTGGCTGAAGTTAGAACCTACCGGCGAAATTGGCAAGGATGATTAGCATGATGTTTGTTACGATCTGTACGCTCCTGTTTCAGCGTAGCATTCCTTATTTTCCCAAACTACTGTACAATGATTACGACAGAATGTAACATGCTAGCAATGCGTCTTATATCCACTGGCCGGACGCCGTCGCGAATACGCCATGAATAATGCGCAATGACAGCGAAGAATCTTTGAGTGTTTTTTTCTTGCTAGGCGTCGTAATGGCAAACGACGTCACTGCCCTAATACGGCGGGCAATCTCCAGGGATTTCCCTAATCTAACCCAAGAGAGCCTTCCACAACTCCTGCTCCCACACCTACCTTACCGCTTCTCCTACCCCAATGCATCCCCCTGCCCGCACTCCTATCCCTGCTCCTTTTTCTTGCTACTGCAAGGGGGGCTTCGCCACATGATCAGCCGACTCGTCAAACACCCAACAGACTCACCTATCGTTCATTGATCAGCGCCATCTTGTGACGCTGTGGTGTACCGCGAACTCCTTCGCCTTTATAAGGTCGTGATTACCTTATTTTCATGAATGGAGTGATACACTGCCGCTGTTTCTCTTTTCTAATTGGTATGCCGCGGTGTAAATGATTCCTATAAAGTCGTTTTATAATGCTGTTATTTTCTGAAAGGCGGTGCGAGCCTAAACTAACGCCGACATGTGATTGTCTGTGGCTAAAACGTCAACACGGAAATTCATGTATAGCGGATCACGAGTAAAATTAAGATACACCACTGTCATTAGAATATACTCCTACAACATGAGGCCACTGGGCACACAGCTAACACCATTCGTGCTTAAATTGGTGATTAAATCAAGTGGTTCATAATAACGTATTGGCCAAAAGCTTTGATTAAATGTTAATTTTCTTCGACAAGGATTGAAGACTGTCCACGTTACGACGCTTAATATTACCAAGCTAAATGATTCCGCAATTAGTAGCATTGCTCTGATAGCGTTCTGACTTAACTGCTTCTGAAAAATGTTCTAAACTGTGATTTCATAAAGAAGACTTGATGCAACCCCATCAATAGAAGGCTGTTTTGCCACATAATCAGATGCGCGTCTGGGCACAACTATTCAATGGCCTTGTCATAAATAACAGGTATTTTATGCGAAACAAACGTGTCTTCCTTTTTTTCTAGTTCTGATGTTTTGTTGGCTGTCATTGGCCGCTAAAATTTATGCGAGTTTCAGTAAGCTCTGACCACGTGAGAACAAGATTAGGCTTGGTGCTGATGTAACTCAACATGGTCATCCTCAGTCCCGAACCTGCAGGAAACATGAGTACAAATGCATAATGAGTCAGGAAAGATATATAGAAGGAAACGTCATGCGTAGGGTCAACAGGGGAAGCGACAAAAAAAGATCAGGGCTGGCAAAAAACATCAAAGCTCTGGGAGCGAGCGACCGAAGGTAATCAGCCGCTCAAACAGATCCCACCTGTCCCCATCTGACTATGGCTGTGAAGTTACCAGGTTGCGGACAAAAGTACGGATAGAAACGAAGACACATGGTCACTGTTCGTAAGATAACATACGCACGCCTAATGTTCGTCAAGCCTAAGTACAAAGGGTATAAAGTTTGCAACGACAAAATTTCGTGATTTCAAAAGCCCATATGGATTAAGGTCGTCCGGAAAATGTTCAAGAAAAAGTTCCGAAAGAAAATGTTCGTTCCCGCGAAAGTTTGCTTTGAAAAATCGTAAATAATCGTTTGTTCCCAAATGTTCGGGTTTGAATGTAAGTCAAGAATGATGCTCGTTTCACAGGGAAGCGTATTCATTGGCTTGGATTTAGATATATGATGTAAGTACACAAAGTCTACGAAAATATTTGTCCAGTGCTCAGTTTGTTAAACGACGGAAACTTCGTATGCGGATGTCTACTGAATATTGGAATGCAGATACTCATTACTGACGTCAGGTGTCGAATGAATGTCACTGTGGGAACCTCGACACCCCGTCGACTGGGGATAAGAGAGGCAAGGGGATGGCGCATTGGTCAAGTCAGGTGTCATGGCTAACCGAGCGCCTCATGACATGAGCTTTACGCCCCGAGACAACTCGAAGTGGCTGTGCAGGATGACCGTGGGATGGCGAGGACTGGAGGTTCATAAATGCGAAACATGCTCCCTGCAGATCACCCGTCGAGTTTGTCGTGCTCCCCCATTATCCCTTACCCTAACGGCGCTTCTGTTGGCGCCTTTGCATGACGCCCTTGAGCACGCCGCAGACGCCAGCTGACGGACGCGACGAGCCAGCTCGCTTATGGAGTGCGGCGTGCAGAAGACCCAGTGACGCCCGGTGTGCCATTACCAATAAAATCAGATCGGATTCCAGTGAGGATGACGCACCAGCCACGGTAACGCGACCCGTTCCATTAGGAATATGACTGCACTCGACCCAACCTTGCCCGAGATCATAATTTGTGAGCCGCGTGCTGGATAGAGCTAGACGTTACTCACTAAAATTAATGCCTTATATCATCCCAAGAAGCTAATATCCAGCGCAAGTTATGAGCTGCCAGTGCATCACTTGGTGCTCTAGTGTTCAGCATCATTTTATTAGCATATGACGAGGCCGAATGAGACCAGAGCCACACAGCTGAAGTTATGGTGGCGCAGCAGTGGCGGATCCCGAGCGGTGGCAAGGTCCATGTCCTTTTATACCGAAGGGACATCAAAGTCCTGTGGTGAGGGGGCACCAAAATCATCATTTCAGGTCCACATTATCTTTATTTTCGAGGCACACCAAACACCAGGAACTCCACAAACGGCACCAAATATTCAAGCCAACATACACAAATACAAGCACGAGTTCTAAAATCAAAAAGGACTAAATGCGGCAGATCACTCCGGTGGACGGAATTCTACCGATTACAAAATAGAAATAAAGTGGCAGAAATCCGGGGACTTTTCCCGGACTTCTTTCGGGGAAGGGGGGCACCAAGTTCCAGGTACACCACAATAAAGCGTGATCCCTTCCGTGTCGAAATCCTGGAACCGTCCCTGTACCACAGAAGAGGCCGAAAAATACCGGAACAGTGCCATTCGGCATTCCCAAGCCAATGTTCTCCATACATCGTTCGTAGGCTTAATGTTCATCATTCTCGGAAAGTGGAGTACATCCACGGTTCCCTGTAAATACGCCTATACTACTCACGAACCTTAACGTACGTATCTTTCAAACTAACTTTATCGGCTGAGAAAATGTAGTGCACCCAACTTCTTATGAATAGCTGCGTACGCACTTAACGGGTATGGGCCTTTCCATAAGAACTTGTGTCCCGATGAACTTTTGTCAATACGAACATTTTCCATGCGCACTTTATACCGTCCGAACATTTGGTAACGAGATTTAACGCAGATTCTTTTGTCGTACGAATTTCATACCTTACGCACTGATGTTTACGAACAGTGCACATGTACATGCGTATGCATATCACGCACACGTACTTTCTCCATGCATGCTTCTGTTCTAAAACCGCAGTCATTACCCCGAGAGGCAGCACTGTCGTCAAGAATGATATTATAGATGGCAGCACTACCATCATAAGATCACTGCACTTCATGGGTCTCGGACGCGGAAACTCGCATCCAGCCGCAGCGTTTGTCATCCTACAGATCTTTGGTCACCAACGATGCCTTCATGATAAGCTTTGCCTGACTCCTGTAGTCAATTAAGTGAAGAAATCTTGCATTAAACGGTTGCATTAAGTGAACCGTCGGCACTCCTCATTTTACAGTGGTCTAGTGGACTTGCTGAACGGAAATAACTCAGAATCTTCGTCGGATCTTTTGTCTAGGTTCCGCAGAGATACTAGGTACGTCACTAATGTAGATTGTAAATCAAAGTTGGTGAACCATTTACGTGAGCTGTTAAGTGCATTTGCGAGGTCCATTATTCGCATAGATAGGACAAAAGTATTACCCTAATTCCTCGGAAAAAGGAGAGGAGGGAAAAATAGCCGCGATTATTTTTATTGAGCACTGTTTATCTCCACTCTCCCGGTCTTTTTCCGGGGGATGACTGTAATTTTACTATCTAATCTGGGTGAACAAATTGTATGAACATGCCCAAACCATGTTTCTGGAAATGTTCAATATTCAGTCGGAATCGATTAGCGAAGCAAATCATGCAACTCAGTTTTAAACACGCGCACTCGAAAATGGTTGGAGCCAAAAAGCTCGACACTAGGCGTTGAAGTATTTACAGGCCGCGCAGCAACGGCCCCGCGGTTAACGCTAAGCCATGCCCAACGGGTGGACAAAAATGATGAGGCGTCTGAAAGGAAATACTTTTGGACGCTTTAGGGCATCAAATCGTACAATTGCAAATTATTCTGGGCGTGATATTCACCGACGTGATTTTTAAATCTCTCAGAAGAGCGGATTGGTCTGCACAGCACCACGAAGTGGCGCAGGGATCATCTGGTGGTGGAACTGGAAGAGTGGAGGTAGCATCCCTATTTTCGTGTTGCTGTAGCTGTTAATCCGCCCAGGGAAAACCTCGAAACTGAAAAAGATTCGCCCAGTATTATCTTTAAACGGCACGAATTAGGTTGACCACGCGCTCTGGTGGGGGTCAAATTGGCCCACACCAAACTTTTTCTTGAATGGTTTCCGAACGGCGCGGCGTAGCCGCACCAAATCTTGCATAGCTGTCGCAAATTGAATAGCGGATCATCGAGCATCACAAATTCAGACTTACCTCATATGGTCGCTGACCTGTGGCAGGTCAAAGTCAGGCCATTGCTTCAGCGAAGGAATTTTCTAGGGAATAGTTTAATCTGATCCAACGACAGAGTGGCAGACGAAGCCATACCTATCTAAGATGCTTTCTTAGACAGCACAAATATTGAATGAGCAAATTACGTTGACCTTAGGTCAGGAATGAAGGCCAGACCAAGATCATAACCATCCTGTTTTATCATTCTAGGGCTTGCTGTATGGGATAGTTTCTGGTGCTCATTTCGAATTTATTGACAGCAGGAACCGCAATATCCATGTTTCATGGACTTTTTAGAGGTCAGAATAGGTCACTGACCCAAAATGACCGAGGTCAACGTTGTGTTTTAGAAACATACTGCCTAGCGTAATCTTTGTTGCGTATTCAAAGCAAAATTCAGAGCAGGCTTGTATGATTTTGGTCACCATGGCCTTAAAAGGGTTAAATAAGGTCACTGACCTTAAATGAGCATGCTAACTTTTGCTTACAACCGGTTATCTAGGTTCTGGAAGCACTCTGGAGACCAACCTGAAATTTGACTTTTTTTACCTTATTTGATCCGGAGGTCATGACTTAGGAACCTTAAACTTTGATCTAAGTGAGTTCACGTACAGGTCAACACACCCTATAAATTTGGTGTCTCTGCCTTTCTTAATTCCGGAGACCTCAGGGGAAGAGGGTCAAATTGACCCCTCACCCTAGCGAAGGGTATCCAGCGGGCCACCCGGGCGCATACCACCAGGGAGCACATGCTTCTCCCGGTTAAGGGCTGGAGGGACATTCCGTTCCACCGGGGGGTGTCTTACGGCCGCGATTCTGGCGACACTGGTTGGTATCCCATGACCTATCCAGAGGACCGTAGAGGGATACATGATGTCACATTGGTCTCCACTCTGATGCAGGAGGGCTGCTGATCCGCGCAGTTGAACCCAGATCGATGCAGAAACTCCCACTGTCGCAACAACATTCCTGATCGCTGCAGGTGGTCCAGTACTTGGACCAAGGACTTCATTTCGGTTTAGCGGGCTTATGCTGGAATTCTGTTGGAGGGCCCATCGTTCGTTGCTGGGGTCCTGATTGGCACAGGACCCTTCCATTGTCTTAATGTAAACACCCATAGCAAGTTTTTATGTAAAATTTCATGGCAAGAGAGTCCCGACCAAAGCAAGAGGTTATTTGTCATTCGAGGTCCCCTTCCCGTCCCCAATGAGCAAATGTTCCCTGACCGACTCGAGGCCCCTGGTTGACTCAGGACATTCTATTCGGTACCGGGTCCCTGACCGATACAGGTGCCCTGCATTGTTACAGGGGCCCCGATCAATGCAAATCGCGGGCCTGACCTTGTCCCTGCTTGGGAAATGGGCCCCAGGAGCTCAGATCGACACGAGGCCGACTGCTCGGTGTTGGTCATCTCAGGCCGAAATAGAGGAACGCTCTGTCTCGAGGGTCCTCAATCGGTACAAGAGTCTCTCTATCTGGCATTTGAAATCACAGCCCTGCGGACGGGTGTCCTTGAAACGACCTACAGCCAGGCCCATCTGGCCCTTCGGCTTTCAACCTCGCCTGTATTTTTTGGTCCCGAGAGACCCTTTGGGCTCATTCCAGGCGCCCCTTGTACACTGCTGCTGACCGTCTCGGGACTCCTCGCCTCCGCAGGACCCCAACGGTTAGGCACTGTGGCCTCTGAAAGACACAGGAGCCCTTCACTGTGTCGTAGATCACGAATATTGTAAATCGCGGGCCCCAGCCTCGCTCCCGCTTGGGAATTTGGTCCCAAGGGGTCAGATGAACATGGATCCGACCATTTGCTTCGGTGTTGAAGACCCCATATAATAGGGATAGAAAACCCTGGTGTGAGGACACTAATAGAAGACCTCGTACTGATATCTTAGGTCAGGAAAAATATCTAGCAACCTGGAAACAAACACACACCGATTTCACACCGCCGATTGCATCGTAATGCACCAATGGCCAACTCAGCATGTCATCGTAATGTTGCTCCTACAAATGTTCTGTGGCTCTTATGCCACACTACGTCATACTACGGCTGAACCCGAGCAAGTGTGAGTGGATGTCTAAAGAATTAGAATACTTTGGCTACAGGGTCGACTGTAACGGCATCCACCCCACAGCCGCAAAAGTGCGGGCAATTGTGGAGGCGCCACAGCCTGCTGACTTCAACCAGCTGAAGGCATATCTCGGACTGCTCATGTACTTCTCCAAGTTCATGGACAGCCCGGCCACCGTGGCGGCGGCGCTCTATCGGCTGGTGAAGGCAGGCCAGCGGTGGAGCTGGGGACAGGCGGAGAGCGCGGCATTCGCGCGCACCAAACAGCTGTTGGTGCAAGCGTCCGTGCCTCGCACACTACGACGTGAACCTGCCATTCGTACTGTCTGTGGACGCTGCCCTCACGGGCTCGGAGCTGTACTGTCAGTGATCGACGTTTCGGGAATGGACTGCCCGGTGGGGTATGCATCGCGGAGCCTGGCGGCCGCGGAGGTCAACTACAGCCAGTTGGATAAAGAAGGGCTGGCGGTGGTCTTCAGAGTGAAAAAGGTTCACCAGTTCGTGTGTGGCCGGCACTTCATCATACAAACTGACCACAGGCCTCTCCTGGGCCTCCTAAGCAGTGACAAGCTGCTACCGCTCATGGTGTCGCCCAGAGTAGGCAGGTGGCGCCTCGCACTGCAGGCGTACCAGTATAAGCTGCTGTACGCCCCCTCAACTCGGCAGGCAAACAGCGTTGGACTGAGCCGCCTGCCACTGGCTGTCTGCCCGGCCAGCGTTCCGGATCCCGGAGGCATCGTCTGTCTTCTGGAGTCAATTGACCAGCTGATTCGTGTCGATCAGATCCGCCGGTGCACGAGCCGTGATCTAGTCTCGTCACGTGCTTATCAAGCAGCCATGGACGGCTGCTGGACGGTGCCGGCAGCTGATGGAATGGAGCCATTCTACCAGCGCCGTCTCAAACTCAGCGTTCAGAATGGCATCCTTCTCTGGGGAAACCGCATCGTGGTGCCCTCTGCTCTGCGAAAGGCAATGCTCTCGCCCCTGCACCAGGGGTACTCTGGCGTCGTGACAATGAAGTCAAAGGCACGCACGCACGTGTGGTGGCCCGGCATGGACGCAGCCATCGAGTCGACCGTGAGGAGCTGTCATGCCTGTCAGCTGAACCGGCCCCAGGCCTCCCCGGTGGCGGAGAGTCCATGGCCGTACCCAGAGGCACTGTGGGACCGTCTGCACGTGGGCTATGCGGGGCCGGTCGATGGGGCGAAGATTCTGGTCATCGTGGACACCTACCCAAAGTGGATATCGGCGTATCCCACGACGGCGACTACAGCAGAGGCGACGATCGAACGGTTGCAGATAGCCTTATCAGAGCATGGTGTGCCACGTGTGGTGATGGGCGATAACGCGGCAGTGTTCACCGGTGATAAGCTTCGTCGCTTTCTCACCGATAATGGCGTGCAACATGTGTTCTCCCCTCCTTCGCACCCGAAGTCCAATGGTCGGGGCGAAAGTGCAGTCAAAGTGATCAAAACCGGTCTGAAGAAGCAGAGTGCTGGGTCGCTGCAGACGCGCCTGAATCGGGTCCTGTTTCAGTATCGGACCACTCATCACTCGACTACCGGCGTGTCGCCCGCGGAGCTGCTGCGCGGCCGCCCGCTGACCACTCACCCGTCCCGGCTGCGGCCAGACTCCGCCCTGCTCGAACGTGTCCGCACCAAATAAGAGCGTCAAACACTGGCGAACAGCCGGCACTCGACCGCGGTGCAGAAGTTCGAGACTGGCGACCCCGTGTACGTGTCAGCTGTCGACCAGCGGCCCTGGCAGCCGGCGGTGGTGACGGCGATATCGAGCCGTCAGTGTGACGTCCGGCTGCCGGACGGCCGCTGCTTCCGGCGACACGTTGATCACCTGCAGGCTCGGTCGCCAGACAGCCCGTTGGTCGATAGTGGGATGGCAGTTCCCGTTCCGGAGTGTCCTGCGTCGCCGGCGGCGGCCACAGTGGAGCGGGCGAGCCCCGGCTCTCCTGACAGAGAAGTGCGACCTTGCTCTCTGCGTGCGGCCCTGCGCCGGTCAGGTCGCGAGCGTTTGGTACCCTCTCGCTATCAGTAATGTTATATCGACATGCCGGATGGTCGGACGCGCTGTCAGTTGTGTGCTATTTTCGGACTCGTTAATCTTACGGGGGAGCGGTTGATATGTATAAAGGTTGACTGTTAGCAGTCGCAGCCAGGAGGTGTCGCCACTTACGCGGCAGAGTGCTTGATGACAACCGGGTCGGGTGCTCAGCTCGGATCTGTAGGTTGCTCGGGAGCCTGGAATACAGAGCCGCACGCGGCTGGTGCACCGAGCGAATTGTTTCATTGATCATTCACGGATAGATCATACCTTGAGAAATGATTAATTCAGTGCGAGGAAAAGTCGTATTTAAATCAATTTAGTTTGTGGTGAACAATTTCAGCGTGATTGTAAGGCCTCTGTGACATCACAATAATCGTGTAGGCTCTCCGTTGCGTCTGTTTTCAACGGTACCTTGGCCATTATGGAAATACAGATGTGACCCATCTAAGACAAAATTCCGCCGCGAATTCTGAATTATGGTGCATATGTCGGCGTGGAGTTGAATGGAGTGGAGTGGGGGATTGGTTGTGGTGCGTGTATATCCGCCTATATCCAGTAATTATTCATATTTCCTTGCATCAATGAGGAATGTTAGATATTTTCTGGATATATTACATTTACCATTCTTAAACTGCCAACATCTGAACTGCTCTCCAGTTAGTTCCAATGAGCACTATCCACATTGTGTGTCTTCTGGTATTCATGAAGAGAACTGTTGGTGCAGAATTGTAAGGTTAGCAAACTCTTAGGGTCGATGACAGCAAAATGCTCCAGCTGCCAGCTTATGTACACATGTGTTGATAGAACTCTGCAAACTATGGCAAAGATCCTGTAGAGATGCTTGAGGCAGCAGCTGCTCTGTTTCCAGCAGCTTCTGCCAATGTGCCCACAAAACACACATGAAGTTATCTCATACCTTAAGACCCTGGTGGCAAAAGTTACCCTGTGGTACCTAGGGAAATTTAGGAAGATGTAAATATTTTAGAAATTTGCCCCCAAATTTTGAAAGACTGCCAGAGTGCATGACTATTGAACTCTAAATGCCACAAACTGCACCTGCTGGTTAGCTGTGGTCAGTCTTGTGTGACATGCATTCCATATTATTCCAGACAATAGACAAACCAATTTGGTGTGGTTAAGTTTGAACTCAAACAAAGCAAACATGAATGCAGTTACATGTTGCTACATATAATCTGTGGATGTAAGGAAGCTAAGGGAATTCTGGTTTCTTGGGCTGGTGAGCTGTCAGGCATAAATATGCCTTTTAAATATACAGGGTTGCTGGTAAAGTAAGGATTATCACAGTGCAGGGTATAACTGCCAGTGAAAGTGGCCTATCACAGAAATAGAACCCACACTGTAACAAAGTGGCACACATTCACCTGGCCAGTGAAGGTTTGTTGCTGTCTAGGTATGTGTAGGCCTAGGTCTAGGTCTCTGTCACTGGTAATGAACTGTGATGTGTTACCATAGAACTGAAGCAAAACACAACCATCCATTTAAGTGTTTGAATCAATGGCTTCAGTTTGGCACAGTTGGTGAGCAGTTTCTGAGCCTGAATATGTCCACTACAAGGCAGTCGCCAATGGAGCATGTCAGATGATGTCAAGCAGTACCTAGACAACCGCAGTTGGCGTAGTCGCTGTCCGCAGTCGGCTCTGGCAAGGCTTGGCCGCAGTGTGCTGGTGTAGGCTCGTAAGGTTAGCAAACTCTTAAGGTCAATGACAGCAAAATGCTCTAGTTGCCAGCTTATGTACACATGTGTTGACAGAACTCTGCAAGTTATGGCAAAGATCCTGTTGTGATGCTTGAGGCAGTAGCTGCTCTGTTTCTGGCAGCTTCTGCCAATGTGCCCACAAAACAAGCATGAGTCATCTCATGCCATAAGACCCAGGTGGCAAAAGTTACCCTGTGGTACCTAGGGAAATTTAGGAAGTAAATATTTTAGAAATTGGCCCCCAAATTTTGAAAGACTGCCAGAGTGCATGACTATTGAACTCTGAATGCCACAAACTGCACCTGCTGGTTAGCTGTGGTCAGTCTTGTGTGACATGCATTCCATATTATTCCAGACAATAGACAAACCAATTTGGTGTGGTCATGTCACTCACTGTCCCTGTGGCCCATCAGACCAGTGCCATATGCAGCATGGATTGGCATGTTTTGCCTCCTTTGTCTTTCAACCCTCAGTGATAAAGTTGTTGAGCAATATACGTAGCCGGAGGGCGGTAAAGTCTGCTGAGGGGTGTAAAAGTCTGGTGGTTCGATCATTTTGGTGGACGAAGAACCACATCTGTAAAGGACGCCTGGTGGGGAACAACCTGCCTATGATGTCACGACTTGCATTCTCTTGCCAGCTCACCCTTCACGGTGCAACCAGAAGTTCACACCATCGTTTCTCTTCTCTCAGGTCAGTGCTGCGCTGCGGCCGGCGTTTCGGGGCTAGGGGCAGGGCGCCGGTCGCGCTCCACGCCTGACCGCCGGACATGACTTCCCCTGGCGGTGGCGCCAGGAAGCGCTGGCGCGGCCCGGACCAGGACAGTCCGGGTGCGGACGTCCTCCTCAACCTAGACAGCTCCATGACCGAGCTGTTCAACTTCTCCCCTGGGCCGGGAGAGTTGCCGGACCGCCGCTCGGAGCTGTCGGCCGGCGCCGCCGACACTCCAGGCGGAGAGCCCGTGTCTCCACCGCCGGACGCCGCGCCCGAGGTCGCCGCCTGCCCCGCGTCGCCCGTGTTCCGGCGGAAGACGTCTTCCGACGGCCGGCGGCGGCGGTGGCGCGGCGGCGCCTCGCCCGCCACGCCGGCCGCTGGCGGCGCCGGCAGTCCGCCGTTGAGTGGACGTCGGCGGTCGCTGTCGGCCGTGGAGCGGCTTCGGTGCCGGCTGGCCAGTGAGCCCGGCTACTTGCCGCTGGCGCCGCCCTCGCCGTCACCGGGCTCGCAGTGGAGCGAGGTAAGCGTGCTGAGTGGCGCCCGCTCCACGGGCCAGGCGGAGAGCCAGCGCCGGCGGAGCGCACTGCTGGAAGAGGCCCAGCGCCCGCCGCCGGCCGCAGAGGCCGCTGCCGTCGCCGCAGCCGACGTCGGCCCCTTCCACGGTCTGCCGTCGCTCGTGCAGAAGCTGCTGGAAAAGCAGCGCGGCATCACGGCTCTGTACGGTGGGTGGCCCTCACGGCACCGGCGCTGCATGTGGTGACTCGTGGCTGTGAGATGCCATTACTGGGCTGGAAATCGAAGCGTGCAGTCAATTCTTCAGTGAAATCAAAGTTACAAAAAATGTGTTTATTTATTTAATTTACAAAACATAAAATCACTGATAGTGGCCGCGTTTCCATAGCGCTGTCCTCGTTGACGTACTAGATACGGATCGATTATGGCCGAATGTCGTTGTCTTTCCATACAACACGCTTCACCGTTTAGTTTCCGAGTGCGTGCTAGCGTCGGCTAGTCTGGCTGATGCTGCTGGTGCGGCTGAACCTTTCGTCATGCTGCACCAGCTGACCTGCTTTCCGCTCACTTGTCATCTTCTCCGATCAGTCACACCCAACTTCAGACCTTACTCTTGTGTGTCGTATGGACTCGAGCATCAGAGGCTGCCACCGCTGCCTGTCGGGACAGCCCATCCTGACTGCAAACCTCGCCCGCCGCCCAGCATGGCAGGAGGAGTGCCTGGGCCTGCCGGCGGTGCGTGAGCGGCGTAACTTAGTGTACAGCCTGCCGACCAGCGGCGGCAAGACGCTCGTGGCCGAGCTGCTCATCATGCGCGAGCTGCTCTGCCGGCGCCGCGACTGCATGCTCGTGCTGCCGTATGTCGCGCTAGTCCAGGAAAAGGTGGGTCTGGGCTGTGGCTTGCTGAGGGAGAGGAGTCGGGGGCGGCTGGCGGAGCCGCGGCTGGCCTAGCGAGAGGAGTCGGGGGCGGCTGGCGGCAGTCGCGGCTAGCCGAGGGAGAGGAGTTGGGGGTGGCTGGCGGCAGCCGCGGCTGGTCGAGAGAGAGAGAGGACTCAGGGGCGGCTGGTAGCGGCCGCGGCTGGCCGAGGGAGAGGAGTCGGGGGCGGCTGGCGGCGGTCGCGGCTGGCCGAGGGAGAGGAGTCGGGGGCGGCTGGCAGCGGCCGCGGCTGGCCGAGGGAGAGGAGTTGGGGGCGGTCAGCGGTAGCCGCGGCTGGTCGAGAGAGAGAGGACTCAGGGGCGGCTGGCAGCGGCCGCGGCTGGCCGAGGGAGAGAAGTCCGGAGCGGCTGGCGGGGGCCGCGAGCACGCTTGTGATGAACCCGTCCCGGGACACTGAATTTTGGCCGTCCCTTGTTTTGCCGTTCTCTGGATGTTATGCCGTCCTGACGACAACTTTCTCATCGACGAGGAAAGAAACTGTTCCGTGTCGTGCAGTCCATTAATTGCGTTCCAGAGATGCTACTCATAATTGTTTGTGGCTGAAGGGAGGGCCTCCCAGACAGGGTGGCTGTTCCTTGCCCTTGTTATCCGTGCGCCTACGCTTGTCCGGTTATTGACCTCTGCAGTGACTCCATGGTCCACGGAGTCGCCGCAGACAGATGCGATGTCGACCGCGCAGTGCGCATGATCACGTGCTCGCCCTACCCGATGACCCCACCACAGGCCTTGGTTGTTCACGTGGCCCTTTGTCGCCGGTGCTAAGGCGATGCTGGCATTGTCACGTGACTCGCCCTGCCCGGGCCGACAGGTGCGCGCCCTCGCTCCGTTCGGTATAGCGCTGGGTTTCCTCCTGGAGGAGTACGCCGGCGCGAGGGGCGCCTTTCCACCCGCCCGGCGGCGCAAACGGTGAGCGGCCCGCTGACGGTCCGGCGCTGCGCCGCCCGGCCTACACCGCCCGGCCGGAGGTGGTTTCTTCGGCCGGTGATTTTTCTGTAATAAAAAGCTGCCCACGTGTTTAACCATAAAAAGCTGCCCACGTGTAGGTCAGCTCACGTGTAGGCGGGTGTGTGACTTTATCGCCAAAGAAGCTGTCCACGTGCGGCTCGGGGTGTGGCGTTGGTGTAGAATGCGGATATCACGGTGGGCTGTGATGAGCGCCAAATGACCATCGCAGTCGGCCCGTCCTGAAACTTCAATCACTATCATCCCAGTAGGCCATGCAAAACAAGCATGCCTGCTGCTTGACTTTGCTGCGTCGTCGTTTTCCGTCGACCGAAGGCTCCATCTCCCGCCGTGGCCTGGGCCAGTGCTGCTTGGGTGGAGCCGGCCGCGTGTCGCATGGAGCCGCACGCCAGCCTCCCTTCTCGTGTGGCGGCAGGCGGGTGCTGTACGTGTGCACGATTGAGAAGGCCAGCGGCCTCGTCACCAGCCTGCTGGAGCAGAGCCGCGCCGAGGAGCTCGGTCTGGCCGTCATCGACGAGGTGCACATGCTCGGCGAGCCCGGCGGCCGAGGCGCCACCCTGGAGCTGCTCGTCACCAAGCTGAAGGTGGCCGCGCGTGAGTCGGGCTCGGGCACGCCCTGGAGGTGATCTTCACCGAGGTGAAGGTGGCTAGAGGTGAACTGAGCCAGAGGACAGTTGCATGTGATTGTTGTCGAGCTGGAAGCGCACGTGCTGAGGTTGAGCTAAGCGGGAGCATTCTGGAGGCGGTTGACACACAGCTGAAAGCAGTCACATGTCAGTTAAACTGAGTGGATGTTTTGAGACGGTGCTACCAAGGTAGCAGTGCGTGGGCTGTGATCAGACGGCGGGAGCAGCAGCCCTGAGCTCTGAGTGACCAGACCACAGGTGACAGGTCATGAATCTAAGGCACTGATCGAGCATTCTCCAGGTCGGTGTCCAGCCGAGCGGTTTTCTCCAGTAAATTCTGCGGTCAGTTGCCAGTCCGACGTACGGGCTTTGATCTCGGCGGGGGCCACGTGTTGCCGTGACCGCCTCGCCGCGGTGACATCGTCGGCAGGACCGTCGCCCGGAGGCCTCTGACCCTGAGACTCGCCCGCAGCGCAGACCCATCTGGTCAGCATGAGCGCCACCATCGGAAACATGCCTGACCTGGCCGCCTTCCTGGAGGCGGACGTTTACTCCCGGCCGTTTCGGCCTGTTCAGCTTCGCGAACACGTGCTACTGGACGGCCAGCTGCTGGAGGTGACCGGCTCGACAACCGACAGCTGGGAGCAGCTGCTGACGCCGCGCCGTCGGCTGGCGTTTCAGGTCAGTCCCGTGTGTTACAGCGCTGCCGCCTGGCTGCCGGCCTGGGATCAGTTTTGCCTGGAAATCGCGATCGCAACACGTAGAACAGTGCAACTCTGGTCACCTGGAGGCTAGAGTACCCGAACTCATGGTCACCATGTTCGCGTGCTGACACCGCACGTCTTCTGCCATATGCTGAAGGGAGTGCTCCACTTTTCCAGGGGGTTGTCAACTGAAATAGCTGTCTTGAAGACCTTTCGGTGCAGCTCACAGCCCTGTCCTTCTTAAGACCTAAACGCTTCTTGTTTCTGAGCTGCACGCTCGCGAAAATGGGGGAGTATTCCGGGGAGGGTATTTTAAGGTTATCTTGTTTATGACGTCATAAAAGGTTGTTCAAACCCTGCCACTTCATAAGCCATACATACGGCGATCAAGACCAAGAAAAATATAATGGTCGAGTCGGTCATATCTGGCGTTCGGGAGAACAATTTCCCGATATAACGATCGTCGATTGACTCTCGACCAATTTTGTGCAAGGTACGATGACGTAATTAAACAATGACGCATCGAGGAGCATATTAAGTGAACAGAGAAGTCATGTTGTCTGGAGCAGTCTTTTCCTCCTAAAAGTGCGCCAATACTTATAAGTGAGCCTGTTTTATCACATATGATGCCTGTTTCAACATCTTCAAATGTGGAACATCCCCTTTAAGTTGCGGATTGATTGCTTCGGTTGTACTGCTGCTTGTTGCTGCCGAGCTGCACCTGCAAGCGGTCCTGCTGTTGAGCCCGACCTTGCTTTGGCCACTGATGTCCAGTCACTGGTCTCATTGTCCCGCTGCTGCCATCACAGGCCTCTGACTGACCCATACCATCCTGCCGCGTGTCTGGTTGGCCCGTTCCGCCGTGCCGCGCGTATGATTAGCCCGTGCCGCCCTGCCGCGTGCCTGATTGGCCCGTTCCCCCTTGCCACGTTTCTGATTGGCCTGTTCCGCAGTGCCGCGTGCCTGATTGGCCCGTACCGCACTGGAGTGCGTCTGATTGGCCTCCGGCGTGCCCGTTGCAGTACAGCCCGGAGCAGCGGAAGCGGGACCCGGACGGCGTGGGCGGCCTGGTGGCCGAGGTGGTGCCGGCCAACTCCTGCCTCGTCTTCTGTCCCACGCGCAAGAACTGCGAGGCCGTGGCGCTCATGATCTGCGGCGCTCTCGGCAGGTGCGCGCGCGCTGTCGGCGCGGGCCTGTTGACCCTGCTGGGCTAGCACCGGCGTGCTGGGGACGGTGGTGTTGTGTATGTCTTGCTGGGCGAGCCCAGCTCACATGGATGTCTGATAGTGGAAACAGGGGTCTGTGTGTGGAGCAGGTTTCTTTGTGTGCCATGCCATGTCAGGTGTGATTCATGCCATACTGTATCATAAGTAACTGCATGAAAGTCTGCCATGATGTCAGCAATCTGTATTGGGATGCTTGTTACTGTTACGCCTGATGACAGGCGCCGTGCGGTCGGACCGTTCGCAGGGAGCTCGGCGAGCACCAGCTGGACCGCAAGAAGGCGCTGCTCGCGGCGCTGGTGAACGAGGGGAGCGGCTCCGTCTGTCCCACGCTGCGCCAGACGCTCCGCTACGGCGTGGCTTACCATCACTCAGGTACGCCGCAGGAGGGCGCTGGTCACGCGGCTCACGCTCCGTCGCGCGGGGAAGGTCGCGCGACGCCTCTGTTAAGCCACGTGCAGTCCGTGCAGCCGTGGGGGTAGCCGACCAGCGGGCGAAGGCTTTGCTGCCCTGCGGTTTTGGTGGTGCCTGTATAGGTGGCTTTTATAGCAGAGTCCGGTAAGCTCTCCTTCTATTGCATGTCTGGTTTTCAAATTTAGTCAGAAGTCTTGAGACATATTTGGCGAGGGTTTAGTACGCGGTATGTCCTCGCATTTAGCTCAGCTCGGAGTCTGGGCATAATCGTGCGAGTCGTAGTCACATTCGCCAGTGATTGACCATCTGCGTCCTCAGACCAAAGCGGCAAATTGCACCCAAACGCACAACCAGTGGCTTTCTTGTGAAAACCCCTTACATGTATGCATACCGCTTATTCATAAATGCCTTTCCAAGGTCCATCACAAAGAAACAAACTGAAAAAGAAAGAAACTGGGCGACATTTAGCTACGTACCCACGAGTTCGCACGGTATTCCTGCGTGGCGTGGCGCTGATGGTGCTGCCACCTGTGTTTCTGCTCGGCAGGTCTGACCACAGACGAGCGCAAGCTGCTGGAGGAGGCGTACCTGGAGGGCACGCTCTGCTGCCTCTGCTGCACCTCCACACTGGCCGCCGGCGTCAACCTACCGGCCAAGCGGGTACGGCGAGTCGGATCGAGCCCGGCCGGCGCGGCTGTGGCGCCGGGCCTGATGCGCCACCGGTGCACCGTGGTGCGCTGACCCGCTCGGCCCGTCCTGTGCTGGGACGGAGTAACGCGTCTCAACTCATCCCACTGTTACTACACTGTGTTTGAGCGGCGGCGCGGGATGTTGTCCGCGTGCTGGCATTCTCTGGTGTCGGCTCTGCGCGAGGGTGTGTTCCCTACTGGATTCAAGCACTGCCCGGGTCGCCGCGTTCTCGGCTGTGGCGTACCCAGCGCCGTGTCCCGCCACAGCTCCGGCGCCGTCTGTCCCGGTCCCGCGTTCTCGGCTGCGGCGTACCCAGTGCCGTGTCCCTCCACAGCTCCGGCGCCGTCTGCCCCGGTCCCGCGTTCTCGGCTGCGGCGTACCCAGTGCCGTGTCCCGCCACAGCTCCGGCGCCGTCTGCTTCGGTCCCGCGTTCTCGGCTGTGGCATACCCAGTGCCGTGTCCCGCCACAGCTCCGGCGCCGTCTGCCCCGGTCCCGCGTTCTCGGCTGCGGTGTACCCAGTGCCGTGCCCCGCCACAGCTCCGGCGCCGTCTGCCCCGGTCCCGCGTTCTCGGCTGCGGCGTACCCAGTGCCGTGCCCCGCCACAGCTCCTGTGCCCTGTCTGTATACCGGCGTCCCAGTTCCCTTCCTGTGTGTCGGTGTTGCGCAGTGCTTCCACTGGCCGCCGACAGGTGGTGCTGCGGTCGCCCTACACCGGCTCGGCGTTCCTGAGTCGCGGCCGCTACAAGCAGATGGTGGGACGCGCAGGCCGGGCGGGCATTGATGACTCGGGCGAGTCCATCCTCATCGTAGCTGCTAAAGACTCCAAACTGGTGTGTTGTCACATCCCTCCCCAGTGCAGGACTTCCAGCTGGTGTGCAGGCACATCCCTCCCCAGTGCAGGACTTCCAGCTGGTGTGCAGGCACATCCCTCCCCAGTGCATGACTCCAAACTGGTGTGAAGCCACGTCCCTCCCCAGTGCAAGACTACAAACTGGTGTGTAGCCTCATCCCTCCCTAGCACAGGATTTAAAATTAGCCTGCATTCTCTGTCTCTCTGGTCCAAAACTCCCAAGTCCACCAGCACACCCCATTATGCATTTCATTGTGTGTCATCCCTGCTGACCCAGACTTAGTTGTTCGATGGCCCCGCCAAGTCTTCGGCAAAGAGGCTGAGCAAAGCTCCTCACATCTCAGTCGCGACATTGTGTGTATGTGGCTTCAGGTAATGGCCCCTGACGTCCCTCTGACAGGCGAAGCAGCTGCAAACGCCCCTTTTGTCCGTCAGGTGGGGTTTGGGGGCTCCTGATGTCGCTCTGGCAGGCGGTGTAACCGCGGACGTCCCCTCTGTCCGTCAGGTGGGGGTTGGGGGGTCCTGATGTCCCTCTGGCAGGCGGTGTAACCGCGGACGTCCCCTCTGTCCGTCAGGTGGGGTTAGGGGCTTCTGATGTCCCTCTGACAGGCGGAGCAGCTGCGGACGCCCCTTTTGTCCGGCAGGTGGGGGTTGGGGGCTCCTGATGTCCCTCTGACATGTGGAGTAGCTTCAGACGTCCCCTCTTCCCGTCAGGTGGGAGTTGGGGGCTCCTCAGATGGGGTTGGGGGCTCTTGATGTCTCTCTGGCAGGCGGTGTAACCGCGGGCGTCCCCTCTGTCCGTCAGGTGGGGGCCGGGGGCTCCTGATGTCTCTGACAGGTGGAGTAGCTGCGGACGTCCCCTGTGTCCGTCAGGTGGGGGCCAGGGGCTCCTGATGTCTCGCTGACAGGTGGAGTACCTGCGGACGTCCCCAGTGTCCGTCAGGTGGGGGCTGGGGGCTCCTGATGTCCCTCTGGCAGGCGGTGTAACCGCGTGCATCCCCTCTGTCCGTCAGGTGGGGGCCGGGGGCTCCTGATGTCTCTCTGACAGGTGGAGTAGCCGCGGACGTCCCCTCTGTCCGTCAGGTGGGGTTAGGGGCTTCTGATGTCCCTCTGACAGGTGGAGTAGCCGCGGACGTCCCCTCTGTCCGTCAGGTGGGCGAGCTGCTAATGTCTCCGCTGGAGCGATGCGTCTCTACGCTGCTGGAGCGGGACGGCCACGGTTTACGCCGCTTGCTGCTGTCGGCCGTGACGCTGGGACTGGCCGACTCCCCGGCTGCCCTGGTCCAGGTGGCCAGCCGCTCCCTGCTGGCGGCGCAGGCGGACGCGCTGCAGGTAAGAGCCGGGCCCACAGACGTGCTGATAGTGGGGGTCATGCCGACCCCGAGCACGGGGCCGGACCGGACCCCGCCCACAGACGTGCTGACAGTGGGGGTCATGTCGACCCCGGGTACGGGACCAGACCGAACCCCGCATACAAATGTGCCGACCCCCCGGCCTGACCGGACCCCGCCTACAGGCGTGCTACCTCGGCACCGGGCCAGACTGAACCCCGCCGGCGGTCTGCCTTGGGCTTATCGGTCGTAAAGCGGCTAGTCGCTTTCGGAGATACCCACTACTTTCGGAGATACACATTGCTTTCGGAGATACACACTACTTTCGGAGATGCCCACTACGTTCACACCCCACACATGCATCGTCTTACCCTTCGTTTCTGTCCGTTACGGAGGCGCCGATCGAGCTGCGCCGCGTGCGCCGCCCTCTGCAGCCAGCCCAGCGCCGCTCGGCGTGGCCACGCGCTGACGGCCTCTGCCGCCAGGTGGACCTGCCGGCGGTGGTGTCGGCGACGGTGGCGGCGCTGAGGGCCGAGCGTCTGCTGCGCGTGAGCCGGCGGGACGGCGCGGCCGGCCCGCTGCCCGACGGCGACCGGTGGGCGCCCGAGCTGCAGCTGAAGGTCAGCCGTCTGGGCACGGCCGCCGTCAAGGGTGAGACTGATGCCGTGATGCCGGCCACACCGACGCCGGCGGCTGCCTGCTGGTGTCGGTCACCGGGCTGAGAACAGCACAGTCAACTTGTATGCCAGTCGAGCAACTCGTCAATGTAGATATGCTTATATGCTTGCTTACATGCTTGCTCACATGTTCATATACTTAGGATCATATTTATACACTTATCATCGATTTACAATGGCCACTATGTTTCGTTGGTAGGCCATAGGTTGCAATTGAGGATCAAGCAAACTTGTGGAAATCATGTGGACTATTGGAAAAAATTAAACACAAATCCACCATCGACAACGTCCCGCAAATCAACGCTCGGCGCCAGTCTATGCTCCGGTATTTCCAACACATCAACATCCCATTCTTGAACCCAACGCAATGACACATGCTCGTTGATATACAGGTTCGTAGATACTTACCAACCTTAACTCAGACTGTGAAAGTTTCACTAACATTCAGGAAAATCAGCGTGTTTATTAGTATGCTAAATGTGAATTGATGATGAGCTTCAAGAAACAACGAAGTGCACCACACAGACTGAATTTAGGATCGTTACATGTGGGAGAAACCGCGCTGCCGCCCTGCCTCGCGCTCCCAGGCCGTCCCCGTGCCCGCTGTTCCTCCGCTGCGGACGCCGCTTCCCGCACTCCTCCCGCTCCTCCGACCGGCCTCCACCCGTCGGAGCGGCCCGACGTCGTGTCCCGCCGCCAGGTAACGTGGACCTGCGGGTGGCCGGCCGCCTGTACGACGACCTGGTGCACGCCCAGTCGGCGCTGGCCGTCATCAACCAGCTGCACCTGCTGTACCTGGTCACGCCTTATGACATGATGGACAACATCCGGCCAGCCGCCAGCGTCTACTTTGACCTGGTGGGTCGGCGCCCGCTCGCGGACGCCGAATGCACGGGCGTGTGCGGTGAGAGGCGTTCATGCGAGGCTCGCCTTGCGAGTCGGGTGGGGGCTGAGTGGAATGGGAGATGACTTTAGTGAATCTCCTGTAGTATTTGTCAGAGTTCACGCTTTTTTTCTTTTTTGTGTTACGTTGAGTGAAATTTGTTACAAAGCGTTTTAGTTCATAAAGTTTTGTGGTTGACAGTTTTGATTCGATTCATCTGGGCGGATGCTGAAGTCTGTCGTCGAATGTTGAGAGGAAAACGAAGAACGCATGACTGGCAAGTTCATGATGTGCTCGGCGAAGCGCTGTCTCCGATGTTTTAGTGTGCTGGGCGGTAACGAGCAGGCGTGGGCCCAGATTTATCTGCAGCAGTGTGGGCGTCATGGATTGCAAGCAGATGTTTAGCTCGTAGTCACCGGAAATATTTATCGTAGTGGTAATGGCTTAGCGAAGTTTGGCGGACGGTAGTGCAAAACCCGTGCCCGATAACAATGGGCATGTTACATGTCAGAATGAGTTTTGCAACGTCCGGTAAGTGGAAAAGCCACGTTAGCTCACAGTTTTGCACGATTATCAGCTGCCATTGCTTGTTAAGTATTTTTTGTTACCACAAGACAGTGTCTACACGAATTTCTAAACAGATTAAGTGGTCAAACAGCGGACGATAAATCTGAAACGTGCAACTGCCGAACTAGCAAAGGGAGATGTCAACATGGCATACACGTAGGGTGACAGGCATTCGCTTCTGCCCTAGTAATACTTCAATAGTGCGTCACAAGATTGTACAGGTCAGCGGATACGCGTTTTTGTTTTTGAAATTGAGAGTTTAGTGGTGTGGATGACGTCCGCCTTTGACGCACACGTCGCGTGGCGACATGTTGTCTGTGTGCTCGTTTCCCGTTGGACGTCATATGATATTGTCTACCCGGTAGCATTGCAAATTGTGTCCGAACTTGCCAAATTTCCATTTATTTTGACTCAGGTCCTGCATTTACATGCATTCATCCTATATTCACATGCCAAAGCTCATCATTTGCGTCGGCCACCAGTGGGTTTCTTCTGGACGAAGCGAGCTTTCTGTCGTCTTTTGGTTTTCGCTTTAGAAGTCAACGTTGGCGTTGGCATGTGCATATGAAAATGTCCTCTGTTTGTCTCCGTTCGCCCTAAAACAGATGTGAGCGCGTCAGCCCGTGACGTCCGCGCCCGCCCGGAAGTGCAGCGCCATCTGTCTGTGTCTGGCAGTACATGTCGCTGGAGCCGGAGGAGGTGGCCGTAGCCCGTCTGATCGGCGTCACCGAGGCGCACGTGGTCCGAATGATGTCCGGCGGCGGCGGTAAGGTGAGTAACACGCGGAGCCGGAGGAGGTGGCCGTAGTCCGTCTGATCGGCGTCACCGAGGCGCACGTGGTCCGGATGATGTCCGGCGGCGGCGGCGGCGGTAAGGTGAGTGACACGCGGAGCCGGAGGAGGTGGCCGTAGTCCGTGTGATCGGCGTCACCGAGGCGCACGTGGTCCGGATGATGTCCGGCGGCGGCGGTAAGGTGAGTGACACGCGGAGCCGGAGGAGGTGGCCGTAGTCCGTCTGATCGGCGCCACCGAGGCGCACGTGGTCCGGATGATGTCCGGCGGCGGCAGCGGTAAGATGAGTGACACGCACCACCCGACAGTCGCTGAGGCGGCCGGCGGCGGCCAGTGCAGCGCGAGGGAGACTGCCGCGTCTTGGTGCAAAGTATAGTGTTATAGTGTCAGTACCTGATGACATCGAGTGGTAATAGCGGAGATAGAGAGGACGGACGGCTGCACCACTACGACCTGAACACGGGTTCAGCCGCGTATTCTGTAGAGCTGCTATGCTTCCGACGTCGTCACAGTGAGCACTGTTATGGTCGTCCACGGCCCCGTCATAGGGTGCGGTGGTGGTTATGATTTCTAACTTTATGACGTTCAGAAATTTACCTACGCGGAGCCGGCGTGCGGTGACTTTGTCTCATCACAACCCGCGCATACATCATGAGCACTGTCGACGACGGCTTTACGGCCCGGAACTGGTCTTGTCACGTGTACTGTACAATAACGTGGTAGTGGTCAGTCCTTGACCGAGAGGGAAAATGAACGTCTATACTGTGCACCAGCTGCACGCTTTGCTGCCACGCCCGCGTGCCCATTGCCCTAGATGCCGGTGTGGTTCAAGATCAGACATACTGTGGTATTCTTTCCTGTCTGATGTACTGAATTGATACGGCTTTCGATGTATGCTGCAATGGGATGTATGAATACCACTCTGTTCATGTCAAAAGGCTACTTGAGTCAATTAGCAAAACAAGGTACGTGAGGCAGCTGGAACTGACTTACAGAAAGCATTGCGGCTTTCGATCGGCACAGCTTGCGAGGCGAAAACAGACGCATGCACGGCTGGTATATAAGAACCCGTAAATGGCCCACTGAAAAACCCTTATCCACCTTCAACTCTGTCTCGGATCCGTCGATGCAAGTGGCAGCATTGCGATCGAAAAAGCTGATGGGTTCAGGGTTTGCGAATTAAATTAGCTTGCATGAAATAGGCATTAGTCCGTCACTCATTGTCACTGGCCTCTCTAGCGTTCGTTACAAAAACGCCGCCTCGTTCGCCGGACGCTGGGTGGCCTGGAGAGCTCATACATAGCTCAGAGCCCTGGCAAAGCCCTTACAGAGCTTGGAGACCTGACAGAACTCATATATAGCTCAGAGCCCCCGCAGATCTCATGTATAGCTCAGTGCCTCACCAGAGCCCATATGAAGCTCAGAGCCCTGACAGAGCTTATACATAGCTCAGAGCCTTAGCAGAACTCATATATAGCTCAGAGCTCTGATAAAGCTCATGTATAGCTCAGAGCCCCGGCAGAGCTCATATATAGCTCAGAGCTCTGACAAAGCTCACGTATAGCTCAGAGCCCCGGCTGAGCTCATACCTAGCTCAGAGACCTGACAGAGGTCATGGATGTATCTCGCGCCGACATTTCGACGTCGCAGCGCTAATGGCGGGTCGTGCGCGTCCAGCTGCATTCGAGCGCGGTCGTGTCCGGTACGCCGTCACGACGCTCGTGACCCGTGCTATCGCGTCCAAGAAACTAGCGGTGTAGTGTCCATATCGGGCGTTCTTGGTTTTGGTCGCCGCTCGATTTCGCGTATCTTGCGCCGCGTTTTTCGCAAGGCACTCGCCTAATAACCCAGCCGAGCGGACGCTGCGTGACCTCTTACCGACCGGGCAGCGTCGGGGTCATGTGAGGCGTTACGTGAATAGCAAGTGTTTTTCCGCCCTTCCATGCAGCCCGCAATAGGAGCTGGGAAACTCTAATTGCAGAGGCCTCTTTTCTTGTGATCTATGCAGGGAGCCGGTAGTACGCAATATCGTTTGCGTTGGTTGCCATCTGTACGATGTGTTGTCAGGCGGGCGTGTGTGAAGCAAGGCGTTTTATACTGAGCAGCGCAGCGTGTAGGACGGTTTTTTTCTCGTTTCAGCTGTTCCGAATGGTATGTGATGATGATGATACTAAATTATGCCAAATGATGCCAGTCGCCGCAGATGGTCATCGTACACATGTTAGTGTAACTGGATGTGAATGTAAGTGTAAATGCAATTATGATGCAAACGGTCATTATGATTGCATTTGGTGAACGGCCATTATCATTGGTTGGGTGCAGAACTCATTTGCATACCCACTGTTGTTATGGAGTAGTGTTTCATAGTAACGCGTCAAGGAATGGCTTTCTCTAGTTTTGGAAATATATTTTCTTTGTAACATTTCAGTTGGATGCAAGCCAGTGATGACTGGTGTTTGGTTTGGGATGTTTGGATCCAGATGTCCAGATAGTGTCGGTGTGCCCGTTGTAAGTGATCGGTTACACAAGCTCGGGCGTACGCACCGTGGTTTCTACAGCACGCATGAAGCTAATTGCCAGTGGTGGAGTGATGCGAATCCCTCAGCGCCCCTGTCCCTCTGCTTGTTGTAACGCTTCCCAAGTCGTGCACAGCTGTTCGTAAGGCAGTAATACATGAGGGCTTCGATGTCAGTGCATGTGAGCCAAAATGTGTGGGTTTAGTCATGTTGCGTGCGTTTTTCATCAGACCAATCACCGCAGATGTCATATACGCGGTGGGGACATCTCTAAAGTTCGCTTTTTTAACGTTGATCGCGAAAGTTGCGGAAGGCATCCCGTGTGGGACTGTGTGCAGACTAGGTTCAAGTAGTCATGTGTGCTTTTCTGCCTCGGTGCGAAGGCGAACACAGGAGGAGCTGTTCTCCAATAACCACGTCATTTGATCGAGCGGGCCACCACCTGCCAGCGTCATTGATCGCGTCGTCGCGTCCACGATCTTTCGGGAGTTAAATCGTAATGCCGTCCAAGATGAATGCACCGTGGTGGTGGGGATGAGTTCATCAGGGCGTTTGCCTTGCATCGATTTGTATTCCTTTAATGGTATGGAGCGCAGATTGTGCTCAACAGGTGTGATGGATATGCCATTCATATGACTAGCGTCATCATATGCTTATTTCCATGAGCCAGTCTTAAGCCACATAGATGATAAGGCGCAATGTATTGTGTCCATTTGAAAATTTACCTGATTTTCCCCGAAGCAGGTCCCAGGCAAAAGGTGTTAACTGCTTCACATTTGGTGTTAGAACAGACATTTCAGTATCTTACATCAGCCGACGCAAAGTACAGGGCTCATTTTAACATGACCAGCAGAATAGCGTGTTTGCTGGCACGGCGTCTTGGAACAGGCGGCATGCGTCAGCCTCCCCGCGACACAGGTTCATTTTGCAGCTTTCTGGGCAGATAACGGCTGCGTTCTTGGGCTGTGCAGAGATAGCTTTCCCGGCAGCCTTCAGTGCAGCTACAGTACAAAAAAGCGTGAGGTGGCTGCAGTGTGTCGGTGGGCGGGGTGTGGCCGTTACCAATGTTGTTTGGAGTGTAGATCACCGTGCATTTTGGCTCCACCGAATACCGAAGGCATCTGCGATGGTAGAACTGCAGCCTTGTGCCAGACGGCCGTCTCTGAGTGATCGCAATTTTGTGGTAGTGAAGGGCATGTGCAGTCGACGAAAGGTATTCAGCGATGTTTTTCCTGCCGAAGGATGTGCTCTGCCTACACTATCAATATCCATCATGCCATGCAAATGGCAGGCACACGATCGTGTTTTCCGTCTTTGTCACCTCCCGTGACTGTGCATTGGGACGCGGCGGACGTCTCAGGCCGATTCAGGTGACTGGCACCCGGCGCCATCACCTCATCTCGTCAGGAACTCCAGGCAATGGGGGGCTGCTCGCGGGAGTGCTCCCTCGCTGGTTGTGGAGGCCCAGAACCAAAACTCAAGCCGTTGTGGACAGCTCAGCTTGCTGGGAGGCGTCTCCGCCGCGGTCCTCCCGCCTCCATTACGGGCTAAGTGTCCTCCCAATCGGAGGCGGTTCAGGGTGGCGGCCGTCTGCCTGCACGCGAGAGCTGTTCTCAGTTTGGATAGCGCTGTCCGATCTCGGCGGACAGGCGACCATTTTTACTGCGAAAAAAAATGCACAAAGCACACTGGTCTCGAGGCAGTGCGTTGCCGGAAAAAGATCAAAAATATGGCGCACCCTATTTTAGAGTGGATGATTTATTAATGCATGTCTAAGAGTGGCCCACATAACCAAAATCTTTTCCTCCTATGGTGTCCTTGTCGTCCACTGGTCGTCTTGTTGCGCCATCTGTGAAATGTGCTGGTCAGAGATTGGTTAAAGGACCTTTCATCACTAAAATTGTCATGGAATGGCAGGCGTCTTGAGCCTTTTTATTGTTCGCAGTGTTGAGTGTACCAGGCAGTCGGTGCGAGCCGGGGTTTAACCCGATTGTATCGTGATTTGAAAGGGGGAACACTCGGAGTGATGTCAGCACATATTGTTCTCCGATAATCCGTCCTTAGCCCACTTTCTGTGTGCGATTTGCCGGACGTTACAACCTCAAGAAGTTTTCCAGTTCATAGAAGATATCCGTCATCAACGCCCAGAACATAAAACGTGCTGCAGTTCGTGCACCTTTCTGTGACGCGAGATATAAAACTGCACCGCCTCAGCATCCACCGCAGAAGCCGATCACTGACCTTGATCTCCCTTCCCGTCATTGTGTTGTGTGGTCATCAACCCGCGGATGCTATGCAGCATGACACTTACCCGATAACTGTGACTTGTCCCTGATGTCAGGTGGCCTTCGTGCACCACACCCTTGCATGACGTGCGGCTTTTCAACACCGCCGTACTGCTAGGCGTGGCCGGCGTCTCTCATGGCCTGCATCTGCCCGTAGAGCCGGCGTGACTGCTTCGACCTGTATTGTGTCGTGAGATGCAGGCGCGAGCATGAGCCCGGCAGCATATTCAGGCCAGATCGGGGAGGGCGTCACGAACAGGGCGGATCACGGTCAGCGACGCGCCGGCCGCCTGCTCGCGCCGCTGCTCGTCGGCTCGTCAGTGCCGCGTCAGTGTCAAGCTCAACTGGCAGCTGCGTGGCCGCGTTGCTGGGCTGATGACGAGCGCGTAACGGCCACGCAGCCGCCGCCCTCACCCTCGGCGCCGGACGCGCGCTGATGCTGGTGCGGATCGGGCCCCGCTGCACCCCGGCCGCGGCGGCCCTCTGGCCGGCCCGGGCCGCCGGTGCCCGCACCGTCTCAGACTGCCCGACGCCCGGCGGCAGGCGACGGACCGGACGGTGGCGCACCGGTTCTACCTGACGCTGGCGCTGCACGACACGCTGCGTGCCGGCTCGCTGTGGACGGCCGCCGATCGGCTGCAGCTGCACCGCGGCCAGCTGCAGGCGCTGCTGCAGGCCACGGCCGCCTTCTCGGCCGCCGTGCTGCACTTCTGCCAGCAGCTGGACGAGTTCTGGCCATTCGTGCAGCTGCTGGACGTCTTCAACCGCAAGCTGGCCACCGGCTGTGCTGCCGAGCTGGCACAGCTCATGGAACTCCCCGCCGTGAAGCAGGTGGGGGCGGGGGGGGGGGGGCAATGCCCAGCCCGCGCCCACAGACTACGAGCGGAGATCAAGGGGACTGGGTTTCCGACGTTGCTATTAGAAATTTCGCCGTTGCTGAATCATCAGGTGTTCGCTGATCCGCTGTGTGAATCCTGTTAAAGACCATTGGATCACCCAGTCGGCGGGCGTCTTTGATATGTACGGTCAGCTTTGCTTTGTGTTGATCGCTGACCCACAGCCAGGGCGACCTGTCCAACCACACTACAGCCTGCCAGGTCAGCCTGCCCGACCACGCCTTGCTCCGCCCAGGCCGCGGGGCTATGGGCCGCACGCCACTCACGGTGGCCCGTGTCGGCAGGGCCGGGCGCGCGCGCTGTTCGCCGCCGGCTACAAGTCGCTCTCGGACGTGGCCAACGCTGACCCGGAGGCGTTGGTGCGCACGCTGGACCACCTGCCGCGCCGCGTCGCCCGACAGATGGTGGACTCGGCGAAGGTGAGGCCCGCTCCGTCACCTCTCTCGGGCCGCCAGCTGGGGTCGGAGTCGGCCGGGCTGCAGCAGGACGTGGCGGACCGGGGCCATGGAATGCTGATGTCCTCGGTGATCAGCCGCTATCGACCTGCCCCAATGCTCTTGGGAGTTGGTGTCGACGTGTCTAGCAGCGCGCGGCGGTATGTCGCGGCGGTCTCGCTCCGGAACCCGTCCCGTCCACTATGGGCACTCGGTCCACTCGGTTGTGGAGGGAGCGATGCATCCCATTTGGTTTGGCCTGCCTGAGAGTGAGTTACCACGCGCCCAGCATTTAACGCACTTCTTTGACAGCAGACACCCCATTATTTGCACCAAAGGGCTTCAGGAAGTGCGTTATGACCGGTATGTCCAGGCGAGGGGGCTAGGTACCTCGACGACAAAACCGGTGGATAGATGGTGGGAAAGCCAGTGTTTGGCGTCAAGCGCCGGTTCGAACGCAGTCGTAGCCGGTGTGTCACGCAGAAACCCGCAGTGCTGGCCGAGTACCTCAAGGGAGTAAGCAGGCCTGTTCAGCAGACACCACAGTTCTGAGGAGGGAGCCGAAAGGTCAGGCGGCTTGTGGTTGAGCTGAGGGTTGGGACGAGCCATGCGTCCGGCACCACAGCTGCTGCAGGGGACATTCTGCTGGACATACAGTCGGGCAGGCGAGACTGTAGGCCCCTCACACTGGAGAAGGCAAGACCCCAGGGCCAGATGCTCGGCTCCTCGACAGCAAGTGCTCCGATGGCTGCTAAGCAGGAGCCTGGGAAGTGGCCCGGCTCCCGCGATAGAGGGCGTATATGGTGTAGAGCGCGCGAACCCGCTCCCAAGAGCAGAACATTGTCCAGAAACACCGCCACCATGCGGAGGTATCAGCTTAATGGCCTGCTGTTGCACACTGGTGGGACGTGCACCACAGAGGATACTGGCGTCCGTATTGGAGAGGAGCGGCATGCTGACTCGGCGCCTGGCGGGCTCCGGGACAGGCCACTGCAGACCGAACACCGCACGACTGGGCCAGGGCGGCATGGATCGCTAGGAGCCAAGCCAGAACGGAGGGCGGTCCTGCTGGCGATGGCCAGGACCGCCGCCTGGGGCCGGTGACGCAAGAGGGGTCTTCTGTGTAAGTGCGCGGGCGTGGATATGGCCTAGTGCGTGCTGTGAAGTATCAAGCACTATCCGACAGAAACTATTCGACGGAAGCTCGAGAATCCGGTGGGAGGGGACGGCGTCAGCAGATATGGTGTCTCATGAGGGACGCCCACAGGGCGGGACTCTCCCACGGATGCTCGTGACTGTGCAGCGGCAGTGACTTGGCGCCCGGGCGGCGGCGTTGTCAGGCCCAGGTAGGCTTGGGCGGGCACCACCTGGTCATCGGCGGCAGTGCCAGAAGCTGCGAGTAACACCAGCAGGCCTTCGCCGGAGTCGTGCGACTGTCGACTCCTGTGTGAACATTCCTCAATCGTCTTTGTTGCTCAGCTGAGCGATCCACGAAGCTGGCCGGGTGGCGGCCATGACCCGGGCCCTCGAACGTTCCACATATTTCGGCCATGTTACCACAAAAGGGCTTTCAGATGCAGCAGCATTCTCTGGCACAATGGCAGCTTAACTCGCTTTTCAAAAGCGCAAACTAGACTGCGGTCGACAGCGCCCGGTTCTGCATATTCAGCTGGTGTTTAATTGGGTCGGTGCGTTAATGAGCCGGTGGATTATTTAGGAATAGTCTGCCCTCAGCCGTTTACGTAGTTGCAATGACTTGCAGTGTATGACTCACTCGTCCTTGATTCCATCATCTTTTAAAACCATGAGTCGTGGAAACTCGAGAGCAGTTCTGGAGAACGCTCAAACCTGGTTGCCAGGGCGTCGTGCAAGCGCACGGGACAGATTCTGACGCTGGGTAGGTGTCGTCATCATAAGACAAACCTGATGCTGCTTGAAAGGTGCTTGTGGTTTGTGGCATATTGCGCTTCTATGTAACACATGCTGATGTTAGGTGACACTTGTGTGACGAAGGATACCGTGGTGACTTCGCGCCACTCACGAAGTATGGGGATGGGCAACAGTTGTGTGACATATATTGGTGATCTATGGCGGATATCGGTGCTGCTTTACATATATCGTTAGCCTTCCACAGCTGCTGGTACTGTGTGACAGTGACGTTACCACGCGTCGTATGCTGGCGCTGTGGTAGTCGACTTTGCCATCTGGCAGATGTCTGTAGTTTTATGACAGCTGACGCTACCGCGCGGTAGTGTGGCACTTGATGTTCCCGTTTGACATATGCCGGTGCTGTAGGACATATGACGTCACCGTGTGACAGACATCGGTATTGTGTGACAAATGTCACCGTGCGACGGACGCCGGTGCTGCGTGACAGATGACGTCACCTTGTGACAGATGCTGGTGCTGGAGAAGGCGGAAGCGCTGCAGGAGGAGGCCGAGTTTATGCTGGACGGCCTGAAATCGGCCCAGTTCTACAGTTCGCCGGGGCTGACCGAGGTTCTCCTCAACTCGTCGCGCGTGGAGTCGGGCCCAGAGGAGCCGACCAACGACCCTTCGTCGCCGGCCCCGACCGCCGGTGTGCCGCCGTAGCGCTCACCTCACCTCCGACCCCAGGTCACAGCGGCCGTGCTCAAAAGACGCGCTGTTGACCGGGTCGGTGTCGTGAATGGCAGACCCGCCTTGCCTCCTCCCCCCCCCCCCCCTTCTCCCTCCCCGCTGCCTCTCCGTGTTGCTGGAGTCAGTCACCGCCTTGCCTGCGAGTGCAAGCAGACTGGGTGACCAGGCTAGACCTGGGCCGCCTGGGGCCTGGATGACCCTGGCTGACCCCATCCAGCGGCTGGGTGGCGTTCGCGCCTTTTGACGCCGATCACCCTGCAGACCGGTCGTGCAATAAGCGTGGTTGTTGTGTTAGCAGTGGTGTTGGTGGGGCGGACCAGGTGTGGGCCTATTTCTAGTCCGCTTGCGTCAGCCGTGATGCTGCGCTTTTGTCGATGAGCGCTGACCTTCACCCCGGTCGGCTTGTTCGACCGGATCGCGTATGGGGTGGCCGGCCGCTGTAGTGAAACGCAAGGCTGTCTCCACTCGAGCCGCTGCCAAAGATGAGATATAAGCCTCCGTGGCGTGACAGGCCTGCGCCCCTGCCGTGATCAGGGATGACACCAAAACGGCTGCGCCGGCCGACCCCGTCCGCATTAGGATGGATGTGTTTGTGCACGGCGAGGGTGTCAGTCGTCATCAGCTGACGCCGCATACCACGCGCTCATTGGACGGCGCCTGGCGAGCACCAGCGCTGGATAGTTTTGCGGTGGGACGCTGACGGGGCTGGTCGTGAGCTGAGGCAACGGCCTGCGGCTTCATGTTGGTTATCGTGCTGGCGATATGCTCGTGGTTCATGGTGTTCGCGTGTGATATCGAGCTGGCGTATGACGTTTTGGGCTCATTTGTGGATGGTGGAGTATCACTAACCGCCTTCCCTGCCTTGCCATTAACAGTCAACCTACGGCCGGTCTGTCACCTTCGTCCCCCGAGAGGTCTCACAGATTCTCACCTTCGCCCCACGAGAGGTATCAGAGATTCTCACCTTTGTCCCACGAGAGGTCTCAGAGGTTCTCATCTTCGTCCCACGAGGAGCGGTCTTTGAGGACCGTCTGTAACATTTCGAAAACTAAGCGAGCTAGAGCAACGGGGAAAACGACATTGAATATCGAAAAGATGTGATCGAGCTGCATTAGAGAAGTATGACAAAGCAACGGTGAAAGCAATCTGACGGCTCAAATCGTGCTCAAGGCGGTAACTAGCTATTTCCCAGCACTCATCCACTCCTGTTATGTCAAGAACTAAGCGTGCTAAGGCAATACTGAAAACGGCGTTGAATAGCTCTTGGAAGACTCGCTTCGTCTCATTCCAGTTAATTTATTCTACTGAAGGCTTATTATGCTTATTCTACTGTTAAGTAATTCTACTGTTTCCACGTGGTGATTGTTCTGCGCCCAGTCGTACACAAAAAAAACAGTACACAGAGATAAATATATATGCGCACATAATATTATGCATATACGCACAGGTGAAAGCAGTTTCAGCCAAAATCCAGCGATTTAAAACATTCAATAAGCCCGGTGCGAGGGGACGTAGACGGCCGCCACAGCAGCCTGTTCTTCGCGGCGGTGGCGCGGTACAGAAAATGTCTCTGGATGGCGGTGAGTCGGATGCGCGGCAGATGTAGCGATCCGACGCCGTCCGAAACAGCCGGAGTTTGACGTTGGGAAGACTCAGCACGCATCACGAATAGAGCGCGCAGTGCAATGGGGATTCGGGGACGCGCAGTGCGCTGCGTGCATTCAGACGGTCCCGGTGGTGCGGAAGATTCGCGACGCAACGCCAGCCGGGCGCTTCCAGAGCGAGTTAAGCTGTGATCGCTGCGGCGGACGCCACTCACTGGCCTGGCTGCGAAGTGCATTACGCTTTGCACCCTGTAGGTGACGCTCGATCGCTCCACTGCAGGTAGACAGGCAGTAAAGGATGTGGGAGAAGACGTGAATTTGGACAAGAAGCTTCAGAACGTCAGGGCTAAAGTGGCGTCGAATCTTGAACATGGATGGGAAAATTACATTACAGCGCCGAACGAGTGAGGAGATCTGGGATGCCCAGGCGGGGTGGTGGTCGAGGAGTAAACACAGTGCTCTCACTGAAAATCATGGATAAATGTCTGTGCCAAAGATGATAGTGTGGGAGTTGCCGGTCTTTGTGATGGGAGATTGATGCCGACCAGCATGAAGTCTGTTTTTTTCGGAATTCATTCTAAAGTTATTTGACTGAAACCAGTTTTGAAGGTACTGAATGGACACCTTGATACGGGCTTTGAGGTTGGACAGGCCGACGACATTGAGGGTGGCGGAGTCAATGAGTTGGATGTCATCGGTATAGGATAGTAGGCGGCAGTGGGGTGGGAAGCTGGATAAGTCGATGGAGATGAGCAGGATTGGGCCGACAAGGGATCCCTGGGCCACCCCGTAGGAAAGGGATAGGACAACCACGCTGCCACTAACGAGCAGCTCCCTGCAGTTCAGGTAGTCCGGAAACCATTCCGAGGATACCCAGCACCACTCCAGCTTGCGCAGGACGCCGTGATCAGCGCTGTCAAAGGTCCTACTAAGGTCAGTCGTCGTTATCGACGCGACATGGCTGTTGTCCACAGCCTCTACCAGCCACCCGACAGCATCGATCAGGACGTCCTTCGTCGAGTGATGTGGACGGTGAGCGTATTGCGATGGCGTCACTGCATGGTTGTCAAGAAGGTGAGAAGCGGGCCGCGAGCAGACGACCTCGATAATTTTCGACGGTGCAGAGAGAGTAAAAATGGACCGAAACTTGTTCAGGTCTGATCGATCGCCCGAACTGAACACCGTGGTGAAGCGCCATCTTTGATTGATCAGATGTAGAATATGAGTACCGATTGCAGGGAAGCACTTTCTCACTGCATGGAATGGTGCGCCATCGACGTCGACAGCCCTCGACGCGTTCATCTTCCTAATGACTGCAGAGAGCTTCGGTAGGGTGGCTGGATGCAGGGAAAATGCCGACGCACAGACACGGTCGAGCAAGGGGTCATAGTGCCTAACACCGTTCCGGAGTCACTTTGCATAAACCTTACGAGGCCTTTGAGGCTATCACAACCCCAACCCCTCCCTGCAAACGAGGGTTGAATATCGGCCAGCGTCTGCCTGTCTGACAGCCCTGCATGCTCCAACATGAGTGTTCTGGTTCCCCTTGGCCGTGGGCCGTGGAGGCGGGCCTCCTGACTGGGGGCGTGTCTGCAAAGGTTGGGGAGGTGAACCTCTGACCGGGAATATGTATGCGGAGGTTGGTGAGGCCAACCTCTGACCGGGGGCGTGTCTGCGAAGGTTGGGGAGGTCAAACCTCTGACCGGGAATATGTATGCGGAGGTCGGTGAGGCCAACCTCTGACCGGGAATGTGCCCGCAGAAGTCGGGGAGGCGAGTCTCTGACCGGGAGCGCGTCTGTGGAGGTCGGGGAGGCAAGCCTCCGACCGGGAGTGGGTCTGTGGAGGTCGGGGAGGCAAGCCCCTGACCTGGAGTGGGTCTGTGGAGGTCGGGGAGGCGCGTCTCTGACCGGGAGCGTGTCTGCGAAGGTCGGGGAGGCGCGCCAGTTAGAGGTTCTAGGGGAAGATTGCGGTACAGGCCAATTTGTGTCACGATTTAAACAAGTCCTATAATGCTGTATTTTTATTCGCGAAACTGTCTGCTTCTGTTCGGTTCTCTGCGTTGTTTTCTCGACTAACGGCCTTTCAGCGGCAGCTGTGAGCATCTGAATTGCGCTGGACGACTTATTTGGGGCGTCCACTCGACCTCACCAAACTGGCTTTATGGTTTGTACCGATCTTTTCCGCATCTCCTCGGCGCAGCAGGGCGCCCGTAATCCCGTGGTCTTGCGGTGGATCTGTTTCCTGCTGAGCTCGCTGGAAGCAGGCCACTCTTGCTTTAACACCGTAAGGCACGTTATCCTGGGGACCGTTAGCATTCGGCATCGACGCTCCGGATCTGCATCGATGGACCTCACTTGGTGTAGGGCGTCTCTGCCGCCAAGTTCGATTCGTGGAATATTTTGAAAAAATGTCCTTTGGTGCTTCAATGCTAATTTTTGTAACTGTCTGGTTTTGTTCGGTGTTCTGCACTGCCTTCACGACATAGGACCTTTTGACAATAGGAATGGATATCTGCCGTAAATTGCACAGGATGACTTATTCGAGGTGTCCAGTCTATTTTGCCTATTGGCATTACGGGTTCTTCCGACCTTTCCCATATATAAACTTGTGGATTTGGAAGGTTACAGTTACCTTAATTGAGTCATTCCACGCCAACTTAGCCAGTCGAACTCATACCACCATATTAGATCTGAACAAAGCTTAGTTCATAGGCTTATCTAATGCTCCGCTCACGGGTCTGAAGCTTTGAGCTCCTGCATCTAGCTGTCTTTCCGGAGATGATGGCATCAGGAAATGACGTAATGGCAGAGATTCACCAATCAGAGCGATGATAGCTCTGCAACCGTATCACGTTTTCCCGATTGGAAAATATTAAATTGTGTAGACGATACTAGTGTGCCGAACCACGAAAGACGTCAACGGCTTGCAGTCATTGTGTGAAAGTGATAGCGTCACAGTTATCAGCCTTTTCCCCACACCCAGTGACATCGGCCGTCTTAGGTTAGGCTTACCTAGCGGCGTGAGCTTTTTGTAGACAGCCATACGTGTATAGCGATTATGAACCGTTCATGTTTTTGAAAAGGAAGGGCCTGCATTAACCCGTAACCTGAGGCGTAAGACGACCAATACAGGGCTGCGACCTGTCATCAAAAGGCTTGCTGCTGGCCACCGTTCGCTACGGGGACGAGAGTCTGACAGCAATAAAATGTTGTTTAACAAAAAACAGTACCCTAGACTCGAGAGTTGTTAAGGACTATTCATTGCTATGGTACTTTTTTTATTCAGCCCTTTTCACCTAAATAGTAATACCGTCACACGTATCTCAGCAAAATATCAGTATAAGCGTCATCAGAGACGTTGCGAATCAAATCTAGTTAACGTGCAAATCGTATACATGCGCATGTTGAGAAGCGGACGCTTGATTTAACAGTATCTTTCTGATAAAGCGTTGCATTTATGCATTCTCAAACGGGGTCAGCGATTATATAAGGGACGAACAATTAAATAAAAAGCGAGGAAAGATTAAGTCGGTGATAACTAATATAGGGGAATGACCCTTAGTGACATCGTGATTGGTCTAGCGGGGCACGAGATGGAAACACCAAGATATTGAATTGTATGAAAAACTGAGTGCTGATCTCGCAGACAAATTGCGTCATCTGTCTACGTCACGTGTAACCAAACTGCATATCTTTCACACCGTTCCAATTTTACTCCATAAAACGGCCTCCAAATATGGCGCCGCTAAACACCTGATCAAGAGAGCGCGAAAGAATCAGCCGGCTGACGTGATTCTGGCATGAGCGCACGGGTCCTGACCTGGATAGGAACCAGAGGTAAAACAGGCCGCTGTGTAGACTGCAGTCTGTGAACATGGGTGCAGTTGTCCGCAGCTGTCTGGGCCGATGATGGAGATCCAGATTCGCGAAGGACTGCTGAGGAGCCTGCTGGCTGTTCAGAGCACCGCTGAATGAGGCTCAGCCTGGGCCCCGGTTGTCACAGATCCTGGATATTTGACGCGCCCGGCCGAGGAAGCACGCTCTGTGGGTTTGATCGAGACGGATCTGGTTCGGTCAGAGTCCCCGATGTGACAGATCCGTGGCCTCAGAATCCTTCTTGGGGATCTGCTGCCTGCATTCTGCGCGTAGCTTGTCACTGGCTGATGCCAAGTCCCGAGGCGAACGGTTGCCAGCAATGAGCCTTTTGATGACAGCTCGCAGCTCTTCATCGATCGTTTTACGTTTCAAGTTAAGCGGATTAACGCCAATCATTCCTTCAAAAAGTATGAACGATTCATAACCACTGCGCACGTATGACTGACAATATAGACCAAGCCCGTGCTGCTAAGTGAGCCTGGACTGAGACGACCCATATCATCGAGTGTAGAGGAGAAGGCTGATAACCGCGACGCTGCCAGTCTTTGAACAATGACTCCAGCCGTCTGGAGTCGCCTATCTGGACGAACACGTGAGGGGGCGGACACGTACCGGTGGCACGGGCGCGGACCGGACCGGTCATCGAGGGGCTGGGTATGGCGCGGAGTTGGCCGGCTGGAAGCGCCGTACCGCGCCCATCCTCAGTCAGGGTTGTATCCGCGCTGCGCGAGAGTATGGGGAGTCCCACTTTTCTATTGGTGGCTGCCGATGAAGGATTGAAGGGCGATACCGAAATTGATTTTTTAGCGAATCGAAGGTGCCGTCTACTTGGAAAGTCGGCTTTGTCCGTTGGAAATAGATAGTAATCCGATAATGTTCTAGATTAGTATTTGCTTTGGGTTGCCACTCAGGACATTGCATAGGCTACCTAGTGTTGTTCTATAATGGAAAAAGGACATAGCGTATGGAGTCCATACCATTTTACTTAGTGCAGTTCCGTCGTTACGTCATTTTCTGACATGTTCATCAACGGAAAACGGCTAAGCGTAGAGGTCTAATGCTTGAAAATTGTGATCGGAGCTCAAGATAACCACGTTGACCTTATTCTGCTCATATCTGAGATGGTGACGTGTAAAACCGCATTTTTATTGGTCGAGTTGGCGTGAAATAACTAAAAGGGAACGCTGCTATCCGGTACCACAACTTTGCCCGAGCCTGTCTTCTCACCGGCTTCTTTCGGGTTGTGCCCAGGGTAGGGGCGTCATACACAGAACGCAGCGTGAACAACATCCTTGTCAAAACACGGTGGAGTCATCATCCGCTGGACTGTCGGCCAGGAAAACACTGTCGGTGGTCTGAAATGGCTTTTATGTCCTTCTTCCACACGATTTACATGTCGAGTTAGACGGAGATGTGTCGTATCAAACATACCCGGCACTATGGGCGGCGGGTGCAACTGGCGACCGTAACCGCACTGAATAGCGGCTCTGCGACAACAATGGCCCGAGATCGAAAGCGCGCAGGAGAGATAAGCGCCGCACGTAGTCACTGTCAGAAACCCCCGCAAATGGTGAAAGTGGTGATTGGATAGACACGGACACCCCACCAAGGTCTCGAGGCGCGTCGTGGGCACCATCAGCGGCCTCTGCAAACACTGCGACGTGTTGTGATCATAGCCGGCGGGCCTCCCCGAGCACTGTGACCTGTGCGGCAGATGTCTGTGAGGAGGTCAGCAGGAAGGTGCTGTCTGACAGAGACCCGGCGTGCGCGTCGCGTCCGACGAGGCGATGTTCCGGTGCCGCAACATGGAAGGGCGCCATAGGGAGAGACAAGGGACTGACGCGGTCAGGGGTCACGCCTGCGAGACACAGCGCGAGGAGCAAAGGCCAAATGTATCGGTGCTTCGTCGGCGCACTAGCCGTCTTCACGTAAACTTGTGGAGTGAAGTATTCTGGCGCGTCTTTTATGCTTTATTTGATAATTTGGAGTTGGAAATAAGCATTGCTGGAGAAAATGTGCCTTCGATTTAAGCAAGTTGTTCCAACCAGCGCATACAGGTTTCAAGTGAGTTTGGCTTTCTTAAGTACGCGTTGGTGCTCCAAGCTCCCCAAATAGCACCCCGAGCCCGAATGTCACTGTGAGCCTCTCCCCAATGTCACTGTGAGCCCCTCCCCAATGCTCGTGGTCTGGGTGACAATGGTGACCCGAGACTACACAGGGGCGTAGTCACGCAAAACGAGTTGGGGAGGGGAGGGGGGGGGGGGGCTATGCGATACCTCAAGATATGCCAACAAATGGGTTTTCCCCGGATCTCACCCGCTTTCTTCTCGAGGGTGGGGAGGGTCTGGAGCCCGAGTCGAGGAGGGGAGAGAGCTGAAGTCCTTTCGTCCCAACTGAATAGGAAACTACACTCCGGAGACCACGTGTTCAATTCTAACTTGTCATGTAAGCTGCAGGGATCCTAAATCCAATGTACCGCACACTCTATACACCGAACTTATCGTAGTCGACACTGCCTCATTTGCACAACGATCTTGACACTTGATGCTAATCTTGGCGGTGAACGTTAAGTGCAATACGTGATCAGAGCAAACAGTGCGGCTTAACTATGGTCGAGAGAGACATATTAATTTACGAGAAACCTGATGCAACGAGAGATTATGCGAATCCAAGACGACATCAGTTCTTGGGCGTGCGAGGGGCTGCTTTCTGGGGTCTGAGGCCCAACTGAGTGCACAATTTGTTGCTCTGGTGCATGTCCAAGGCATAAGGCTTTGAAATATGTGATTTTATGCTAGGATTTATTCGCTTCGAACTGTTCTCGTTTGTGTATTTGAGGGGCTGGACACGGACGCAAACGTTTACTTCGCCATACTGAGCCAAGCTGCTAGGCAAAAAATGACTGCGCAGCTCCGTGTCCACCGCCCCCCCCCCCCCCCCCCCCCCCCGACAGCGGCAGTTAGTGGGCCTTTGCACAACGATATCGAGTGTATTGTAGCTGGCACACAATAAAAACGAATCCTTGAAAGCTCAGTAACCTGGACGAGCGTGGAGAACGCTGGAAAAACAACGCTTAATTTTATGCTTGATTTCGAAGTAGTCACTATGCGCCCTGTCCTGCAGCATGAGTCGCGATGCTTTAACTCAGACGTGATGTTAGTGCAGGCATTCTCTCAGTGTTCGGCGTGCCAGCTAGCTACGGTCCATGTTATTTCGGAGCGATTTTGTGTTGTTTTCAAATAATAGAAAAACAATGCCAGAAAAAGGAGGAAATGCTTTTTCTGCCATCAGCACGGAATTTCGGAACGCAAACGAAGAAAGATAAAACACCGACGGTTTATTTCGCTCGGCAATGATCACACTCTCTCCAATGCTGCCATGGGAACACCCCACAGCACCAGATTTGTCTGAACATGATTCCCGCGTCGGTATTAAAGCTCCCGCCACGTAACATTAAAACACGTGTCCTTCCACGGGTGCACTCGCGCCACTCACATCCCGCTCATGGTGGGAGGGGTGACACAGGGGCTGTCACATCGGGCCGGTCAAACTCGGCGGGCGACGAAAACGCCGCAGAGCGCCGCAAACCAACATGGCTGCCGTTGCAGCGAAATGTTTGCACCGTCGCTTGGCTTCGCGCGAACCGTGGCAATCAAAGCGGGCTACACTCACGTTCATTGGTAATTGGACGGTCATTGGGCGGTCACTTGACGGTCACTGGCCGATCACTGGACGGTAAGCGGTCAGTGACGGGCCGTGCTCACGACGCCAGAGCGAGGGCACCTCACGCCCGGGACGAAAAAAGATGGATCACAGCGTCAGCTTTCGGTGGCAGCAGGACGGTCACTGGTCTGTCCTCTTCAGACGGACGGCTGTCGGTGTTCAATTGCCGGCGTAGAAAGGGAAGCCGGGCCGCTGGGAGACGAGTTTGTAGAGCGGCAGGCCCTGGTTGGCCCTCTTCTGCTGCCAGTTCAGCACGGCCCGCTTGTGGGGGAACTCCTCGAACCAGAGCGTGCGCGACGCCGCCGCCTGAGGCCGCGGGCGAATGGTCAGGTCATACGCTTAATATTACGCTGTCTCGGGGTCTGATGCCACCAGGGCCTCATGCCAGTGCATGGTATGGTAATGTTTCGCCACGGGGCATAGCGTCGCCGGTGTCAGATGTCATATGGTATGACTGGGCAGGTGGCAGATTAGGGCTCTGATTCCATGTGACCTGGAGTCACCAGGCATGACGCGGACGCACGAGCCATGACGGTGAAGGAGCGCGGGCAGTCGTTTAAGCTCAGGGCACTCTCATTCAGTGTTTCAGCTGGCTCAAATGCTTGCCCCTCGACAGAATACCGCAGCCGAGACGCCACCGATGCACGGTCAAACCCGGTCAGACACCGCCAGTGCGGCCGGAGTGGTGCAGACGGACACTTCGAGCAGCGGCGGCGACAACCACGGCTGGGACGTGGCGGCGCCTGGACGGAGGTGCCGTTACCTGGACGTTGTCGGGCGGGTGGTAGTCGTCGTAGATGGACGGGCCGGGACGCTCCCGCAGGTGGACAGGACCGTGAGTGATGGGGCCGACGGCGTTCATCCACTCTCGCACCTCGGCGTCGTCGGCGTGGAACGGGTTCAGCGGCACCATCCGGGCGAACAGGCCGTTTCGCACTGCGGACCACGGCCATTCGTCAGGCGGGAGTGACGTCACGGTGGGATCGGCACGTGACGTGAGGGGGTGTCGGAGCGCCGAGCGGCGCTGATCGGCCAGGTGTGGCTGCAGACGCACTGAGTTAGCTTTTGCTGCTGAATCCATGGCTTAGATCGATGCAGGCTACGGTCCGAATCCAAGCCTGAGTCTTGAACCGTGACGGAAATATTGCAAGTCAAGACGATCTATGATAATTTGAGTGTCGCGAACGAATTGATTGGTTCAGCACTGTTGCGTCAAGTCCGTGGCATCAGAGGAAGGGAGGCACCTTGTAGTGGCTCTCACCCATATTATCAACGTGAAACGCGGGTGGACGGTCGCCGAAAGGCAGGGCCGAGGCTTGGGTAGCCACTGCTGCAATCGCCAACGCCAGGACCTGAAGCGGAGAGATACGTCAAGCGTACGGGTCGGCGACTTGGCTTAGTGAGCGCCGATTCGCTGCGCTCCGGCATTCCTCCTGCGGACTTCGCTTGGCCCATTCACTGTGATGGTACACACGCGGACGGCTTAAATGAGTGCAGGCTGGTGGGGTCGTAATCACCGAGTGTTTAGCACCTAGAACCCCCGTGTAGGAGACCCGGGCTCGAATTCTGGTTGCGCCATGGTCCTTGAGGGCAAATACGGCCAATACAGTCGCTGGCGCTTCATAAAAGCGCCTTGACGACGTGCGTCGTGTTCCCTTAAAAAGGGGCTGGTCGCATTTAATCATCAGTAGTTACAGGCGTCGTGTTTGTCAGCTCTCCCTGTGGCGAAATGGATAGCCCGTTATGTTCAACTGTTGGCTGGGGTGGTGTTTTTGAAGGCGCCAGCGCGCCAAGCGCATGACCTTTCCAGGGATGATCCGGTGGCCGGTCGCTCTATGGCGCTTCGCGGGCCGTCGGGGGAGATCTTGGCCGGCTCCAGAGAAGTGTCACTGACCTAGCGCTATCAGGCCACCTTGCGCCACCCTCCGCTCAGGGCCGGCGACGGTGACGGGGCGTGATGGGCTCGCCAGATTAGACCAGCCTCGCGCCGCCTGCATTCAGGCCGTTCGATTCAGCATAAATCGAAGGCCGTAGAGCATACTTGGATTTCATGCCATATAGAGAAGACTGGCCATTTCATGCCATATAGCGGAGACTGGCCAATCGCATCACAGAACATCGGATCAACACATATATCTACTGGATCGTGTTCCTCGCCGCCAGCAAATTCGCACGAGCCATGCGAAATGACTACTGAGCTTCCATTGTGAACAGCTAGAGATAAATTTACGATTATTTATTGCTCGCACGCATGTAAAGATCACACCATCACCTGCGTACAAGAAAGGAGTTTGATGCCTACGGATTTTGTGCGGCAACTCTGCCTTGCGGCATGCCACCCACCACGTCACAGCCTTCCCCTCCTTCAAGCTGTCACCCCTCTCTCCGTCCTGCTGTCTGGGTGGAGCATCGGTTAAGAACTCTCCCGCCATTCCAAGAACAGTGCTTGCACACATCTGGCCAGCCATGCTACCAAACTGACAGTGGGATTTGTGTGCTACCAACATGGTGGGTTCTCATGGCATAAGGGAGGGATTTGAAGGCTTTCCGATCTCGCCCGAGTAATCCACTCCGGACACGAGACGCAGCGGATGCGAAACTAACGGCAGGTGCCTGTGGTCTCCACGCCATTTGAAGACGTTCGTGTTGGCTCATGCGCCTTAGCTGGTGTGTCGAAACACATCTGCACGCCGTCGACATGCATAGGCCAACAATTCAGGCTGACAGTCGCGCAGTGGGTAATACATCAGACATCACATAACGTCATCAGCGTTTCTCTTTCTACTACAAGCCCTGAACGTTAGCTATAATCAACGTCAGCTTGCACTACTGTGGGGTCGAATTTGTCTGATTAATGTCGCCTGCATACGTTCGAGTGTGATTGACAGTAACATAGCCGCCGCGCTGCTTCCAATATGTCTTTTTTATTTTACCGGTAGCAAAGGTATTTGCTCGCACACGCTTGCTAGCCTGTAGTTTGTGTTTAATATCACCGCCTTACTTATACTAAGCGTGCAAAGTAAACCGTCGGTTGGTTGCCTTGCGGTGATGTTGCTGCCGTTGCTGCCACGAGAAGTAGCGTCTGCCACCGATCGTAACAAGAAAGACCGATCACCATGATAATTTTTTTCATAACACTGGTGATGTGTTATGAGAACACATAACATCACCTCTCCAGCGATGAACGCGACACTCTTCCAAGCCAATGCTCCAAACGTTGTTATCGTGCTGAGATTTTTTGTTTCGTGAGATCCGCGCTTTTAATATGATGGGATTCCGTATTGTATGTGTGCCTGTACCGTGAGGGGACTGACCGAGTATGGGCTAGACGAGCGCCGACAAGGTCGACCCGAGTATGGGCTAAGCGAGCGCCAACAAGGTCGACATTAATACATGCGGCAGTTTGAACTTTCATACACCTCATTCTTTTTTATTTTACTTTACTTCTTTATACTTGGCTGCTTTATAAGACAGGGAAGATTGGTGTTAAATCTGAATTGCACGAAAACTAGGATAAACGGCAGCGAGCCCCATGAAATGTCGCCAGGGCAATCAAATTTGCTTGTAAATTGTACTCACGAGGCGTTTTAGTTCATCAGACTATCGTCATTTTCAGGCTGCTGTATTATATAATGTGCTCCCATGGGAACATATTTTCAAAAGAAAAATGACAATTTTGCGGTGCAACGATGACGATGGCGTAACAAAAGTATTTCCAAAGCAGAATATCCGGCTATTTTGATGGTCCTAGCGACAGAAGATGGGCTTTGCTCCTATTTATCCCAGCGCTGGTGCAGTTCAGATTCGGTGCTAGATCAGGTTGGCGTCATATACTGTTACCGTGGGAAAGGCTTTACAACACAGCTGTTGTCAAGGTGTGGAAACGCCGTGGTGCTTTTTTAGTGGTGAAGGGGTCAAGTGTGCATGGACGTTACTTAGGTTGACGCCAAAGGCCCTCGCAGTAAATATGACAGTTCAGAAAGGAACGTTAACACCAAATATGTTCAAGGGACATTAGCGTTAAGTAAGTTCATCCTAGTCCCTGATCAGCTTACAGACATTCAGAGATTCAAAGCTAAGTAAAGCTCTGGTGGACCAAAAGCTCTAAAAAAAAACACGAAATCCTCGTTATTTGGATCTAGTACATGAACCGATGGCGAGCTGGATGTCCATTTTGTAAGACTGAACCCATGTGATCTTTAGGTACAATACTCAGTGATCGCCTCGGAAAACCTCAGTTTCCATCCCTTCCAACTCCTTCCCCTTCCAACCCAAAGCTCTTCCAAAGTATGTAATGCTGTTGTCTTTTTGTATTGGCCATCCGCGATCGAAGGATTCCACTTTGGTAGCCCATCTAGGGCAGGTGTGGCGTCGGCGAGGAACGAAAGAGAGACGTTTGAAATGGCCGACAGCTGTATTCCAATTAGCCCGCATTCTCGCAGGGCGTCCGTGGTTCCTCGCCGACAGCGGCGATGAGCCGTTTGCCAGCTAGGTGCAATTTGGTTACTAGTTGCGGTGGTTAAGATGAGATGATGCTAGTGTCAAATGATTTGTAGACAGGAATGAGGCCAACGTGAACTCCCAGGAACCATTTAAACTATGATGCGCAGTTGAAGACTCGTGCAACGCAAATTGCGCTCATCGCAATAAATTGATCATACCATGGCAGACGTTGGAAGAAGGCAAAGCTAACTGCCACACAACGATCTCCCGCTGGTCAGCCATTATGCTTTAGCTGTTTGTCTAGATAGGCATTTAGCCCTGCGTGACTTGTGATGTCATTAGAACAATGCAGGGAAATGTATAGATATCCCTGCGTGAACCGGCGCAAGGTGACCTGTGTAAGGGAGTACGAGAGAGAAAGGAGAAATTGGCCATCACTCCGTCACATCCATCAGCCTTCAGACATACTTCAGACACTGAGAGAGAGTTTTCGGCAGGACGCTTTGATGAAGGCATTGGGATCGGTTAGACCAGTAAGGCTTTGAAGAAAATCAAATTGTACGATGCCGATATTCGAAACTTGGCATTGTTTTGTTCAGAAGCACAGATGAAATTAGTCAAGAGGCTTTGACGCATTCACCAGGTGACCCCATTCACGCAGAACGAATATTGTATTACTTGCGATCACAAGAATGGCCACGGACGATCTGTATAATGCCATCTAGTTCCCATAGTAATTTACTCAGTAACCCTGCAGTATTTGCATGCCAAGCACAGCACGTGGACTGGCTGGTTCCCGAGGGCTCCCTGACGTGAACTGGCTGGTTCTCGAGCCCTCTCTGACGTGAACTGGCTGGTTCTCGAGCCCTTTGATGCATTCATGTATGGGATTTTGTTTGTGCCAGCAGTGGCTGCTTACACTTCGGCACAGCAGCGAACTGCACGTGTACTGCACTTCAAGGAGTTGTGAGCATTTCGTGGCGAAATCAGAGCTACTTCGAATGTCAATGTGGGAACTGCAACATTTGTATTTAGTTCCAGAGAACTAGCATTTTGCCAAGGGTGCTGCCCATCACTTGCCATCACCATTCAACATGTCAAAAAAGTTCAAAAGTAAGTGGAATAACTAAGCCGGCTGATACCGCTTGTCGGCCATCGTCACAACTTGCGGCATAATGGTGAGCACATACGCCATTTCCAATAAAGTTTTTGCTACCCTCGGACTTTTTCACCAGAATCATCATCATGATGAATGTCGGTAACCTTGCACAGATGCACAAGCAGTCGGATCGAGATGCACATTAAGTGCGAACGTTTAAATCTAGACGCGTCCTCGCTGTGCACAAGGAATGCATGTACTTATTTATGAATCAGCAACACTTCCAAACCGTGCGCGCCGGTATTATCCCATCTCCAGTTTTCACACTGATGTCGTGTATCGACGCTGATGTCACCACATCTCCACATTGCGAACGTCCGGCAGAACGAGAGTGAGATGTAAGCCTCGATTCTGGTGCAATCTTTCACGGCTTAATATGTGAAATAGCAGGTAAATAGTTTAAAGAAATAGTTTAAGGCTACCTCTGCCTCCCTACGTAGGTCGCAGCAATGACGCAGCGAGACCAAGTGGTCTTTGAATGACTCTTTCTATGTTACGTTGTACAAACTGGAGCTGTATCACAGCTTTTGTGGGAAATCCCGAACGTCCTGTCAACTGCAATGACCAGCCGCAAATGTACTAGCAACATTATAAAGTGACGGATTGCGACAATGCATAGACTTCTTTTAAAACATGATCCAATGAATGTTTTTGGCATTCCTCAGCACGGTCTCAGCCATTTAGCAACGGGTCATATCATGAGTCAGCCGCAAGGCAGTCGAGAAACAATCAAGCAGCTGCGGTCTCATC